CCACCACCGCCTGGCAAGGAAATGTTTTAAAAGATGAGAACCACATGGGTTAGGAGTGTAGCTCAGTGATAGAGGGCTTTCTTAGCATTTGCAAGGTCCTAGCTTCAGTCCCTAACAACACAACACAGCACACACACACACACACACACACACACACACACACACACACACACACACACACTGAAGAACAGGCAGATAAATGAGCCCTCAAGCAAACAAAACTAAAAACAAATAACCACCCCTAAACTAGTGAACAGTAACAAAATAGTGAAGGATGCACCAGTGGTTTCCAGTGGAATTCTGAGCTTTCTAACCTTCTGCAGAAGTGAGTTACCATGTGAACATGACTTAGCTCTTGGGATCCTTGGCTGTGTGGAATACATGGCTGAAAAAGTCAGCAGTGCACTTCCTAGGAATTTTCATTTCCTCTGACTGCTAACAAGCTCTGCTTATCAGAGGATCCATTTTTGTCAGAATCTAATTAACAGATGAAGTTTTGAATTTGAAAATGTTGACATCGGTGAAGACACACATTGACTTAGCCCTTTCTGTTGCTTGCATAATCCCAAGTCTGTGCCCACTCTCGGGTCAGCGCTAACTAGCCCTCTTGAGCGGTCTGAGGCTTTCTTACCTGGAAGAAGAAATGTGAATCGGAGGTCCTGAAGATGTTGTAAATGGACATTTCCTATCCCAACCACCCGGTCCCAAATAACAGACTCAGAGACTGAATTATAAATGCTTGACTGCTAGCTCAGGCTTGTTAGTAGCTAACTCTTACATTCAAATTAACCCATTTCTATTAATCTGTAGTATTGCCATGTGGCTCGTGGCTCGTGGCTTTACCTGTCCTCTAGCATGTCTTGCTTCCTGGTCAATTGGCTGGTGTCTCCGGACTCCACCCTCCTTCTTCCCATCATTCTCGGTTTGACTTTCTTACCTAACTTTCTGCCCAGCTACTGGCATGCCAGCTTTTTATTAACCAATGAGAGTAATACATATTTATAAAGTGTAGAAAAGATTGTTCTGCAGCAAGATGTGACATCAGCCGGGGTCTTTTTGCTACTTTGGCAGAGCCTTTACTATAAGCTGCCAGTCTCCTAATCTGCACATAAAGATTGTGGTCACAGTCTGATAGTGATTGCTCAAGATGGCAGATTCTCAGCGAAGTCCCCCTGGGGCTGATCGCTGTGTGTCACAGGGAGTGAAATCCCTCACATGTGGCCTTTCTGTCCTGGCCAGCTACAGCAGCAACGTGGATCTGCAGATTGCCAAGTGATATTTTTCAACAGCACTTTAAAAAAAAAAACTTTTCTATAAATTTAACAATAAACTCAGAAAATATTCCAATAGCTACACTAAAATGGAAATCACTAAACTACTACTCATAGTGCTTAATGTAACTGTGCACTTAAGATATTAAGGTTGAATATTGTGTTAACACCAGGGATTGAGTGTTATCTCCAGTCTCACTTGAGGGTCAGAGAACTCAGTAACACATGGTCAAGGACAGTTTCCCACCTTAATTCAATAGTAACCATTAGAGAGTCAACTTCCACTCATTAGTACAAGTGGGTGGAACTTACATCTAAGAAGAGCTGGCGATATTTTATGGGGAAAATAGGAATATCTTGAAGGAAAATCTGAAAATAGTTATTCTTGAGAAGGCCAAGTAAATATGACTGTTTTCTGTGCACTGCTTACAACCACTTGGCTTAAGATAGCTTTTATTTTTGAGACATGAAGTGCTAAAAAACAACTTTGATATAATTTACAATGACTGTATCTATGTATATGTGTGTATAATATATATTATATGTTATATATTTATATGTATATTTTAGAACCATGTGAAGAGTTTGAAATGTAATTGCTATATATTGACCTGGATTCTCAGGTTGCTGAGCTGTGTGAACCCCTTTGTCATTATAGGTCGCAGTGTTAAATACACAAATAGAACTTGACAAGCTATATACGAGTCAATATTTATAAGTAACTTTGCTATTTGAGAACAGAGAAGTAACCCACATATAGAGCACTTATAGTATGTGATATGTCCTATGCCTTCCTGATAACCCCTTCATAAAGGAAATAAATCCACTAGGACAAAGCCAAGTGGAGACAGCAGTAGGAAATGTCCATGTAGTTTCAGGAGATGGGCAGCAGGTAGGTCAATAACTATTCTCTTAGGCTTGAATTTTACCTGCTCTGTTAATTTCTTTTGTGAGCAGGCCACAAGCAGCAAGCCAGCTCATGTTATTAAATCCAGAAAGGCCCAGGAATTGGTGGCATCTGGAACGGTGGCGGTGGGTTGGAACGTGTACTTGGAGAATAACGAACCCCCATCCCCAGTCGCTCCTTACCCACATAGCCAGGTGGCCACCCCGTCTCCAGTCGGCTGAAGTAGCTCAGTTTATGAAAGAGCTTGAAGAAGGAATGAGCACAGAAATAATAAAAGACCGCTTCCCAGACGGAAGCACCTGAGCTGTCTTCAGTCACTAGGTGTCCTGGAGTACTTCATATGCAACATCCATATGAAAGCACATCACAAAGACTTCGTGGACATGGAGCTGAATAGGAGTCCATGAAGTCCTCTTAAAAGAGAAACAGTGCCTAATGCTGGAGTTGTCTCTGAAGCAGCAGCATCAGAAACTAGAAGATGGTGTAGGTCTCTGAAGTGTCAGGAGGAAGTATCATTCAGTTTGTCATTTCTCAGCCAACTTGCGGCTCTACTGTGAAGGCTGACAATGAGAGGTTAATCCTCATGCATGCTCCCTAAACTTATCTGTCGTAAATAAAACGGGGAGGGGGGGGTGACAGTGGTGACTATAAATGAGGAAGACATGGAATTTAGGGTCCAATGCAGAAGGCAGACAAAGAAAGATTGCACAGCAGTGTTGCAGAGAAGTCCTGAGTGGTACCTAGAAAACAGTAGGCTGGATTGAAGCACGGGGCTGAAGGCCAACCCAAGAGTGTCTCCAGGAACAAATTGAGCATGCTACACTGACAGATACATTAAGTACAGTACGAGGAGTTTTAGATTACTCTTAGAGGATAGAGGATGCTAGTTACATATAAAACGAAGATGCAAACAATGAAACAAATGTCCCCTCAAATTAAAAATGTAGACAAATAGAAAATGTAATGAAACTGTAGCACAGCCCTGAAGACATTTCCAGAGTCATAATAGAACAGTAACTAGCAGCTTAACCCAAGACAGGCAGTGTATATTGAAATGTATTGGGATGAGAAGGGGTTTCATGAGTCTGTATTAGGGAGATACTTTCTTACTTATTTTTTATTTTAACATTAATTTTATTGATATATAATACAAGTGAGATGACAGTATACCTTTTGTTTATGATTTGTTTTTTATTTTTTATTATTTAAAACAATTTTTAAATTTAAATATATTCAATTATATTAATTATATTTTTCCCTTCCTCAAGTCCTTGCAGATCCTCTGCTCCTCCCACTGAATGCTAAGCTCTTTCTCAAAAACCAAACACGCACCAAATACAACAACAAAACCCCCTCAAAACAAGAAGACAGAGTAGGACACCACTCAAAAAGAAAACAGTGACAAACTGTAATCAAATAAAAGCACACAAAAAATTGTGGAGTCCTTTATATGTTGGTCAACTACTCTTGAACAGGAGGCCTGTCCTGGAGTGGTTGATCCACCCAGCATCCCTCCATTGGATAAAATTGGTTTTCCCTCTCTCAGCAAGTATAAATTACAATGTAGTGGTTAACCTTTCCCCTTGTGGCTAGGTATTCATTCATTCATTCTTTTTTAAAAACAATTATACAAAACAAGATATAATAAGATAAAACAAAACCTATCCCATCGAAGTTGGACAAGACAATCAACAGAAGGAACAGAGCCCAAGAGAAGGCACAAGAATCAGAGATCCATTCCTTCACACACTCACGAATCCCATTTAAAAACACTACACTGGAAGCCATAACATCAGGGCAGAAGGCCTGGTGCAGACCTGTGCAGACCTGTGCAGACCTGTGCATGCTGCTTCAGTCTCTGTGAGTTCACATGAGCTTTTCTCATGTTGATTTAAAGGGCCATGTTTTCTTGGTGTTCCCCCATCCTCTTGGCTCTTAAATTTCTTCCTCTTTCTCTTCCATGGTGTTCCTGAGCTCTGAGGGGAGGGATTTGATGGAAACATCCCCTTTAGGGTTGAGTGTTTCAAGGTCGCTCACTCTTGGCATGATGTCTGGCTCTAGGTCTCTATATTTGTTCCCGTTTGCTGCAGGAGGGAGCTTCTTTGATGATGGCTGAACAAGGCACTGATCTATGAGTATAGCAGAATATCATTAAGAGTTATTTTATCACTATATTTTTTTTAGACCGGTACTATTTGGTTTTACCCCAGGTCTCTGGACTATCTAGTCTCAGGTTCTTGATCACCCAAGCAGTGTCAGGTACGGGTTCCATTTTGTTATTGGTTGGTTACTTCCACGTGCTTTGTGCCATTATTGCCCTAGCCTATCTTGGAGGTCGTACACCATTGTAAGTAAAGGGTTTGTGGTTGGCTTGATATTTATGTTTCTATTTTGATAATGTTGAAAGTACCTTAGGAAGATAATTTTTCAAGTGGAGTGAATCAGATTATAGCAGTATAAAGATTCTATTTTAAATGTGTATAAACACAAGAAGAAACATCTTTAAGAGTGTGGTGTGAAAAGGAGAGAGGAAACTGCTGTGTAACTATATCTGTTTGTAGCTACTATAATGCATGCTTAAGAAATGCAAGTCAGCTTTATCACTTACATTGGTTTTATTCCCTATTAAGTCCCTTTCTCCTCTATTAAATACATGAAGATTGTTATGTTTAATGCTTGCCCAACTCTGTTTCTGACTTGGAGTAGTAGGAGTTTCTCTGACAGATGCACTCTCATCCTTGATGGCCTTTCTCTACAGAACTATCAGAAGCAGAGTTATCAATGTGTAAGACATGATTAATAAGACATTCTTTGTTTTGTAGGGTGGAGAGCACTGTTACTACCACGGAAGCATCAGAGGTGTCAAAGACTCCCGGGTGGCTCTGTCGACATGCAATGGACTCCAGTATGTGGGAATCTTCTTGGGTCCTCCTGACCTCCAGGCTTGCTCATGTCTACTCACTCTTTCTGGTTTTTATTTTTCAGATATTTCATCTTAGTGACTTTTCTATGTCAGTGATGTGTTGGGGGTTAGATACAAAGTAGTTCCAGGGAGCTGAAGTCCCTGCTTCTATAACACCTGATTTCATAGAAAGCTCAGAAATTGAACAAATGTTTACATAGATCAGTAATTCCCGTTTTGGTCGATGCTATGGAGATGATCAACTCATAAAGAGAAAGGGGTTATTTTAGCTCAGGCTTTGGAGGTTGGAATCCATGATGGGTTGACCTCATGACTTTGAGCCACTTGTGAGGAACCACATCATTGAGGACTGAATGTGTGCAGTACAACAAGACTGCTCAACATATGAGTAGGAGAGAGAGGAGCAAGAAGGAGAATAAAGTCCCACAATACCCTGCAAGGCATTCCTCCCTACTGCCTCTCTGCCTACCCCCTCCTCCCCCCATGACGTGAGCTAAAGACTTCTTACAAGGCTCGTGATGGTTACCTCTTGATGATTCCACCACCTCCCAGAGGCACCACTCTGGCATGAGAACAGATCCTTAGTAGTGGATCTGTGGGGGCATTTAAGACCCAAACTCTAGCAGGGAGCTGGCAGAGTGACTCAGTTGAGTTGATGCAGCACCTACAGGTCTATGTCAAAGGTCGTATCAGTAGGATTAGATCTAAGTCTAACTAGGCATCAGTCACAGAAGGATGGGGTGCTAAGAGGAACTCATGCGTTGTCCTGAGGCAGACTCTTTGAAACTGTGCATAAACACATTTTAGATCCAAATCAAGTGGTGCCTTAGATGCAGAAGATTTAGCTTTAGCCATGAAATGAAGAAAGGGTCTTAAAGCCCTTTTCAAACTTTCTTTAAAAAAAAATCTCATGTCTCCCTAAGTTAAATGTGGTTTCTATGGCATACTAGCTAATAGGCATCCACAATTTACAGGTGTAACGATACTTCTACCACCCTCTTCAGAATCAGAGATGGTTTTAGAATATTCTTAGATGATGAAGTGGTCAGCTTTCTTGTAGGTGATACATAATTTGCATAACAAAAAATTTTGTACTAGTTGCATATGGTTCTGGAATAAATGATTCCTTCACCTCCCCACAAAATGTGAGAAATCTTATCCAGATCACTGTTGTCTTTGGTTTATTTTTAAAAATGATTTATGTTATGTAGAATTTGCATGTTCTGGTGGAACGCTTTACACTTTTGGAGCTTGTGGGCTGCCTAGTAGAGTCCTTGGAGTGCTGAGACCATACCAGTGTTCCATGCAGCAAGTGGGAGCTTATCTGGGACCATACGAAGACATTTGCTCCGAGGCACTCTTTAATGACACTGTTGAGAGGCCCACTTACCAGTTCTCACTGTTGGCCATACTTGCTGACTCTCCTCTCGGTGTCTTGTGTTACAGTGGCATGTTTGAGGACGACACCTTCGTGTATATGATAGAGCCTCTGGAGCTGACTCATGATGAGGTGGGTCTGTGGCGTCAATTTCCTCATGGTGTTTGGCTTTTCCAGTGTTTGAAGACAGAACACATCACAGAGCGTTTATCCATGTTAAGTGATTCCAGACTCAGAATGGTACAAGGGTAGGCCCTCGTGCCCTGGGTGGCCGATCAGACGTGTCATACCTAGGTATTCTGAAGTAAGTCCATTCTTTTTGGTCTTTGGAGAGAGCAAGGAGGACCTTTGCTTTTGCACTAAGTAGTCTGGACTCCGTTAGACAAGCTTGCATTTCCAGTGTCTTCTTTAGATAATTGTGTAAGAATATACTTACTTTCTGTTACTAGAAATATTTAGTGGGGAAACCTGTGGTCTAAGCAATGACTACATGATACAACACACAGTTTTGAGATGGAGAAGAAGGCAGTGTTTCATCCTGTACAGGCCAGCAGCCATAATCAGAAATCCTGTTCCTTCCATGCTGTTCATTGGCAGTGTAACCAGCTTTAATGTCTAATGTACAGTCATCAGTATTATATTTATGGCTTACTACGTTTTACGTTCATGATAAAAATGATGTCCTGAGACTCATAAATGGGGATGCAAAAGATGAGTAAGAGATCACACATGGGCTGGGCGGTGGTGGCGCACGCCTTTAATCCCAGCACTCAGGAGGCAGAGCCAGGCGGATCTCTGTGAGTTCGAGGCCAGCCTGGTCTACAGAGCGAGAGCCAGGACAGACACCAAAACTACACAGCGAAACCCTGTCTTGAAAAAACAAACAAAAACAAAACAAACAACAACAAAAAAAGAGATCACACATGACATTTTGGATGGTGGCACCTACAAAGGGCCATCAAGGTTTTTTTTTTTTTTTTTTTTTTTGTGTGTGTGTGTGTGTGTGTGTGAGAGAGAGAGAGAGAGAGAGAGAGAGAGAGAGAGAGAGAGAGAGAGAGAGAGAGAGAGAGAGAGAGAGAGAGAGATCTTGAGTAAAGGCCTTCAGGGAATCGGAACATTCCCAGAGCGGTGAAGTTACCAAGGCCCTGAGATGGGTGCTGCTTGCTGCGTTTGAGAGACTGACTATGTTGGTAAAAGGTGGAAATTGGCAAGGGAAGACATGGTGAGGTCCCAGCAGGGGAGTGAAACCAGGGGAGGGAACTGCTAATGAGAAGAAACTGTGTTTTGAGAGTGATGCTCACATAAGGCACTCACTCATTTGATGGGGAGCAGGAAACTGCTCCGGTGGAGCACAGGGTGTCACTCTGCAGTCCAGGCCTCCTGTCTGCCTCCCGAATGTGCTGTGTTTGCCACCATGTTCAGATTCAACCTTAGATTTTTGTTCTTCTTAGAATGTAGTAATCAGCCGGGCGGTGGTTGCACATACCTTTAATCCCAGCACTTGGGAGGCAGAGCCAGGCAGATCTCTGAGATCTACAGAGAAAGATCCAGGACAGGCACCAAAACTACACAGAGAAACCCTGTCTTGAAAAACGTGTGTGTGTGTGTGTGTGTGTGTGTGTGTGTGTGTGTGTGTGTGTGTCACTGCGGTGTTTAAAAATTTATCTATCATCTACCTGTCTACCTATCTGTCTATCTATTTATTTAGTATGTCTGAGTGTTCTGTGTGTGTACAGTGCTTGAGGAGGTGAGCAGAGGTCATCAGAGCCCTGAGAAGTGGAGTTACAGATGGTTATAAGTAGCCATGTGGGTGCTGGGACTGAACCTGTGTCCTCTGCAAGGGTAACCAGAGCTCTTAACTGCTGAGAAATCTCTCCTAATCCTGACATTTAGGCTTTCGACAAAAAAAAAAAGGGGCAACATTTGTCTTCTTGTGTGTGTGTGTGTGTGTGTGTGTGTGTGACACACACACACACACACACACACACACACACACACACATATGACTATGGCATAGCCTTTCAAATCTGAGACAGAAAAGCCATTAATTGTCCAAGCTGATATTTGAACAAGCCTGTGTGGAGTTTTGGTGAATAACTTTAAAGTCTTCTAGACAGTGGTGACAGTTTACCCTACCGAGACTAAGAAGTTCTGGTGAACAAGTACTCTCCCTGTTCCCTGAACATTCAGATAGCCATGCTGCAGCAAAACTGTCAGCCCTTCAGTGGAGCACCTGACTTTTGGCCTTGACTGCCTCCTTACCTCCCTCACCAAAGAAACCCCCCAAAAGAAAGCAACAATACGTCCAAAATAGTTCTCCAAGCTCTTACATTTTTAAGAATGTGAAAATGGGGTAATTTCCAGTGCATCGTAATAGGACAATTTTTGCAGACTGTGTGAATTCATCAATGTGCGGCAGGGTCTGCCGAACTGCTAAAAGGGTTTATATACATGTAAACTCTTATTATCAAAATGTTTAAAGAATCGGCGCTTCATCCTTATAGCTGTAATTAGACTGCTTGGGGCTGATGGCTCTGTGCTTATTATCTTCTGTTCCCTGCCGGCCTCCTACAGCCTCCCATTTGTTCGCAAAATGATTTGTTCTCATTTTCACTGTGGGTGGGGGCAAAGGAGCAGAGCTTGAAACTTGAAATTAGTTGTAAAAATCGTGTTGCGGATCCAGAGGTGAACTTGACTACACTAGGTGTCTTTTCATGTTACCAGAACAGGGAGCTGACTGGAATAGAATTTGGATTTTTGAATGTTCCCGTTATTATTAGTATTAATCTCAGCATACTTCGCAGTAAGTCCGAAGTACGGACAGGATCGTTCCAGTGAGAATTCACATTCTGTTGCAAATAGAAAGTAAATAGCAGTATTCTTAATTATTGTTTTCTGTCAAATGTAATAAGAAGGGCCTTTTTTAATAGCTGTTTTTATTGTTATAAAACTAATGTGTTAGCTGAGTGTGGTGGTGTATGTCTGTAATCCCAGCTACTCAGGAGACTGAAGCCGAAGGAACTTCAGTTCAAGGCCAGTCTGAGAAACTTAGTGAGACCTTGTCTCAAAGTTAAAAAAACAAACAAACAAAAGCAAACACACAAAACAACACCAAACCAAAAAAAAAAAAAACAAAACAAAACAAAACTGGCTTGGGATTGTTGAGTGGCACAGACTTGTTTAGTATTCAGGAGACTCTGGGTTCAATTATCAATACTGCAAAAGTGCCCAAGTCTAGTAATATATTAGACAATTTGAAAAGCAAAATAAACACTTAACTAGATCGTAATTATCCACCATACCATCCCCAAAGATAATTTCTCATCACCTTTTTAGCAAATATTCTTACAAATTTTCAATTAGACATTTCCATATATATATATATATTCCATATATATATATATATATATATATATATTTAAATAAATTGATTGGATCATTTCGTAGCACACCTTAACCCAATAATGTATTTTTCTGAGTCTTGGTATTTGTATTTGTTAAATAGAAGTGGGATGATTGAACTTGGTTGTCAACTTTGACATACCTAAGAAAAGAGAAGTGCAGCTGAAGAACCTTCTCCATCAGAATGGCCTGTGGGCATGCTGTGGGACATTTTTGTTTGTTTGTTTGTTTGTTTTCCGAGACAGGGTTTCTCTGTGTAGCTTTTGGAGACTGTCCTGGAACTCACTCTGTAGCCCAGGCTGGCCTCGAACTCACAGAGATCCGCCTGGCTCTGCCCGGCTGGAACGTTTTCTTGATTGATAATTTTTGTAGGATGGCCGAGTGCACTGTGGGCGGTACTACCCCTAGACAGGTGGGGTGAAATAGGTATCCCTGGGCTGTATGCAAAAGGTAGCTGAGCAAGCCACAGGAAGCAAGCCAGTCGGCAGCACTCCTCCATGGGCTCTGCTTCAGTGCCTGCCTGCCTCCAGGTTCTGGTTTCAGCTCCTGCTCTTACTTTCTTCCATGGTGGACTGTAGCCCGCAAGCTGGAATAAATCCCTTCCTTCTCAGGTTGGTTTTGGTCAGTGTTTTACCATAGCAACAGAAAGCACACTCGGGCAGGGATAGAATACAGACCACATACGTACGTGCTTCCTGTTGGGGATAAATTGGACAATACACACGTCAGTGCTGGTTGGCAGACACTAAACACTCCGCTTCCGATGCTACTCCCACTTCTAATAATGTAAGGAGTCGGTGTCATTTCTAGGCCAGAGGATATGAGTATTTCCAAGGTTGCTTATGGATATTATTAAAATCTTTCTCAAACTGTGTTACCAGTGACGTGTGAGAACGTTCTGCCTTGCAGCGGTAATTAACTGTGGATGTCATAATTTTTTAAATCATTTACAAGATGGTGGGGAAATTTGCTGTTTCATCTTTTGCGTTTTAAAAGTTATTAAAGCGCCAACGTTTTCTCATGCTGGTGGATGCTCTGTTCCTTTCTTCTGTATTCCCCACTTGGGGCTTTGAAAGAAGCTGAGATTTAAAAGCAACGGACAAAACTGTGCTTTGATCTAAAGTGGGCCAGTGGAAGGGTGCTGTTTTAGTTAAAATTAAAGATTCAACAAGGCATATCCTTTTCCTTCTGATGGCTGACGCCTCCACGTTAGGAAGGGTGTTCGAGAAAGCATTACACTGACCTGGATGCAGAGTGTCTTCATGTCTTACTTTTTTTTTCATTTCCTACAATTGTTTCTGTTTCAGAGAAGCACAGGCCGGCCACACATAATCCAGAAAACCTTGGCAGGACAATATTCTAAGCAGATGAAGAATCTCAGTAAGTTTTAATTAAAATAGCCGTGATATGCGATGCGGACTGTGACTTGACAGACTGCTGGGGTCGGTCGTGCAGGCTTGTTGGGAAGGGACATTGGTTTGAGAGCTGGGGTCAGCAGTGTGGGTGAGGAGTGGAGTCCCAGCTGAGCCTTGCGTGGGATGAGGCATGGAGAGTGGTTTCACTGGCGGCAGCGACAAATGAATCTCTGGCGTGAAGCTGGGCTGGGAACCTGAGTGTGGCAAATGTAAATGAATGATTACTTCAGGGCCGGGCAGACTTCCGTGTTTGCTATTCCCTGGCCATTCTGCGTGGCTTCCCCCATTCACCCTGCCCCGGAGCATCTGTAGCATGCTAATGTGGGCAAAGGCTTCTTTGGATTTCCTGGGGGCATGTGATAGTATCCCTATATCCTAATGCCCAGGGTCTTTCATAATTTATACAAAACCTTATGCCACATATCATTTTAAATTCTAAAATAAACTGGGCACACGGAGTAGAGTTCTCACGAGATTGTTAAACGGTTGTAGGTCAGACAACCACCGTCGTCTAATCAACCTTGGACACCTCACATTTTTCATGAGGAGAAGAAAATAGCTTTTGAACTGTCTTTGTGAGTGTGAAATGTTGAACAATCAATGCACTGTTTCACTGAAGGCTATTTTGGCTTTGTGATGACATTTATTATTAATGGCACTGTGCCTTCGTGTAATATTTGAAGACTATTCTCAGCGGAACGCTGTCGAAACCCATTTGATGTTCATTTTCCTCTTACACAGGCACAGATGGCAGTGACCGGTGGCCTTTGCTACCTGAGTTACAGTGGCTGAGGAGAAGGAAGAGAGCTGTGAATGTGAGTGTGGCCTTGGGCCACGGGGCTTTACCCTTTACCCCTGGGAGTCTGCTCCCGCACTATCTAAATGTTCCCCTTCAGAGCAGAAACAGCACAAAGAAGCCTCCATCTCTCGAGCATCGCTAGCACAATGTTATTTTAGTCTCCTCTCCCTATTAACGGTTCAGCCGATTAGAGTGTCCTGCGAACCCTGATGTCATGTAACCAGGTGTTGTTTTACTTCTATATTAATGTGTTTTTCTTATGAAAATTGGAGTGCATTTTTTTTCCTATTGAAAGGCACAGTAGGGCTGGTGAGACAGATAAATAAGATTGATCACCAGAGTTCCATCCTGGGGACCGACTGGTGGAAGGAGAGGATTGATTCCAGTAGTTAACCTATGACTTCTGCATGTACTCACCCTCCCCATACAAACAAACAAACAAACAAACAAGCAAGCAATAGAGAGAGCACACAACAGCTTTCGAGATCATATGGCTTATACAATGTCATAGAAAACATTTCTGTTAAAAATTTAGGGAGAGTTGGGTTTTGAAATATTGGCTAGTCAAGTTTATTTGTATTTCTTCCAAATGAAAATGAAAAACTCTGCTCAACCAAATTTGAAAGCTGGATGAGTTTTTCAGAAGAGACTGACAGAAGGTTGTTTCTCTGTTGGTGATAGGACAGTGGCTAAATAAGTCTGGTAACTGTTGTATGGTTTTTGTGCACTGATAACTACGTAGGGGGGTTGTAACTAAATATGTTCATAGTCTTTTTGTAGTAGATTAGAAGGCTGCAGTGATTGGGACTGTTTAGTAATTACATGGTGAATGCCATGTAACCAAGAATTAATTCTACAGCTTATAGGTTACATAGTAATTCACTAGATAACTTAATGAGTAATTATAGCACAAATTACACATTTTAGATAATACTTAGTTGAGTGTATTTTTTTGTGTTAAATTAATTCGACCCCCCAGTGATCTACAAGTTAGTTCAAGTTTGAATCATCTTCTTGCATAGTGTATATTGGTATGATGGTGATCACGAATACAATTTTTACGCTTACTTATTTAGAACCCTTTACTTATTCTTGAAGATGCACTTGGCTTACACAGCTTTTCTTCTACCCCAGTCTACTCCAGACTGTTCTGTTATTGTGTACACAAAGAAAAAGAACCGTCATTATTAACTTTTCAATTATGAAAAGAAATAAATGTGAACGAGGAGTTCAATAGTCTTTATTCCTAAATTGTTACCGTCAGCCTTTTTTCCTGTTAGTAGCTGGAAATCGGCACACTGTTCCTAGACTTCTATTCCATTCAGTTAATTCTTGTTGACCACTCTGACTCCTATTTCAGAGATGCCCAATGTTCTCATGAAATGATGTAAATTTCCTTTGACATTTTAAGTAAATATGAATATTTTATCATCTAATGCCATAAAAAGGGAAATTTACTTATTTTTTAGCTACTCTGCTGTGCATTTTCCTCTAATTTTACATAGTAAAAATTCACACAGAAACATCATGACCTATTTCCCATTTTGGTGACCAGAGATAGTGAAGTTGTTTTTTCTAAATTCTTGTTTGTTCATCAACACTTTTTAAAAAACTTTTATTTTATTTGCATGAATGTTTAGGCTCCATATATGTCTATGCAACACATGCATGTAGTAAGTACCAAAGGAGGCCAGAAGACAGTATCAGATCTCTTAGAACTGGAGTTACAGACAGTTGTGAGCTGCCATATTGGGTTCTGGGAATTGAACCCAGGTCCCCTAGAAGAGCAGCCAGTGCTCTTACGTGCTGAGCCATCTCTCCAGCTTGTTCATCAACACTTTATAGTCACGTATGAACAATTGCCTCACCAGACTTCTCTTTGGGTGTTTATAGTAAAGACAAGGAAGAGTCCTGAAGTTTAAGGCTTACCTGTCACTTGACTGAGAAATAGAGATGCTTTATGTCAATCACTGTTCTGACCATGCATTTCTTTTTTCTTTAGCCATCACGTGGTGTGTTTGAAGAAATGAAGTATTTGGAGCTTATGATCGTTAATGATCACAAGACGGTAAGAATACAGAATCGATGTTGTCTTAGTGCCTGTTTGATTGCCATGAAGAATCACCACGACCAAGGCAACTTACGAAAGAAAGCATTTAATTGAGGCCTTGCTTATAGTTTCAGAGGGTGAGTCCATGATCGTCACGGAGGGTAGTGTGACAGGCAGGCATGGTGCTGGAACAGTAGCTGAGAGCTTACATTTGATCAACAAGCAAGAGGTGGGGGTGGGGGGCTGGCACTGGCTTTTATAACATCAAAGCAACCGACCTTCAGTGACACGTCTCCTCCAACGAGCCCACACTTCTAATCCTTCCCAAAACGGTTCCACCAACTCGGGACCAGTCATTCACATATATGAGCCTATGGGAGCCGTTCTCATTCAGACCACCACAAATGCCAATAGCTTGTTAAACAAGAAATGCATTTCACTTTAACTATTGCTTATAGCTTAATAAAGTACACATAGTTAGACACAATCACTTGGTGATTCTGAGCACTGTGTTTCTAGATGAGAAAGAGACAGTAACTAATTTTACAGCTCCAAATTTGTCTTTTAAATAGAGATTATAATGGGTAGATTTACCAATATGATATTTTTCACTTGTCCATGTTTAAAATTCTTACTGTCTACTTTTCACATCTGTGTGTTTGGTCATTGATTCATTATTTTAGTCCATTATTTTATGTGTATGTATATACAATATTCCATTATTTTATATATATATACATATATATATTTATATATACACAGAACAAAGGCATGGAAAGTGTGTGTGTGTGTGTGTGTGTGTGTGTGTGTGTGTGTGTGTGTGTGTGTTCATGAGGCTCTGGGTTCCATCCCTAGCAACGAGCAACCAAATAAACAAACAAATGAAAGAGCTATCTAAAGAGACCATTTTAAATCAGTGTTATATTGTACTAAACATTGACAATATAAATAACTTGGTGTTATACCCGTGGAAGTAAAATATGTTGCACTCCAGTAACAACTTAAGAGAACTATGGAGAGAAGCCCTCCCTCTCCATTTGAGCCTCTTACAACCCCTTCTCTACTTAGCCATTTCTGTTGCCAGGATCCAAGCATCTTGTGGCCTGGGCTGCCTGCTCCTGTGCCTAATGCTGCCGGTGTACTGGTCAATTTTTAGATACTCTTTTTAAACATCGGCTCATCTCCAGCATTTAGCTGTTCCCCTGCTGGCTGATTTCAGGCTGGTGAAGTGAGACCATTCCCTGAAGCCAGGAAAGGGTGGGACTGAGTGATCCTGGGGAGCCTTTTGCGTCTGGCCTCACCTTTGCCTCGACCTCCAAACTCATCAGGCCAGTGATTATTTTGCTATTGTTATGCAGTTTCATTCTAAAAGTTGCTCGTTAATTGATTTTAGTTGATTTCATGGAAGTGGAGTTGTATTCTTGAAAGACTTCATGAAGATGAGAACTTCAAAAAAAAAATACTGAAAAGTCAGTCCTTTCTCAAAAATGTTTTGTAAAATCTTACAAAATACTGGGATAAAAATTTATGCTTCATTAAATCCTTGTTTTGTTTTAAGAAAACCAGAGTTAGTGAACTACATGATAAAGTTGTATTTTGTACCAGGTTGACCACATGAAATTCTATTCAACAGGGTCTCCTCAGAGAAACCCTTGAAACTGTACATCACAAAAGGATTATTAAATTTTTATTTGAGTCTTTTACTTTAATAGATGTTTAAATTAATTACCAATAATTATTAAGTACTAGTTCAGTTGTGTTGAAAATATTTTTCCCTGTGGATTTTTTTATTTTTGTAGACAGACTTAATTTTCTGCCAGTCTTTAAATAAATTTCTTGAGATATACCAGTAAGAAGGAAAATTTGCTAGAATTGCATATCACTTAAAGTCTTTCCTGGTAAGGAAATCCAAATGTTGAGGTGGGGACTTGGTCTAAAAAAGGCTTAAATCTGAGTTTCTGAAGGTTGCTGGTGAGGCCGTCGCCATCTGAACCACTTTTGCTGATTGAGATTTTTCCCAACTACTTTTCAAACCTGATGGTTGTGGCATGCTGTGAAATTATGTCCTTAGAAGCCTGAGCTTTCCCTAACATCCATTATACAAATCTCGTAAGATATAGATACAACAATTACGATGTATACCCCACTGCTGAACATGCAAAGTGCATGTGAATTCCTCCCAAATGGGTAGCTGAGAACATCAGTTCTTTAAAGGTTTATATTCTTCGTTATTGTTATTAGTGTGTGTGTGTGTGTGTGTGTGTGTGTGTGTGTGTGTGTGTGTGTGTGTGTGAGAGAGAGAGAGAGAGAGAGAGAGAGACAGACAGACAGACAGACAGAATGAGAGAGCAAGCGAGAGAGAGCGAGCGAGCGAGAGCTCAGAAGAGTGCCACAGTGACCCCTATTGTACATATAACGCAATAGCTCCTTTCTCAAAAATACTGTTTTCTGCAGAGAAAACTTGATTTGCTTATACCACGTATTTTGTGATAAAAATCATCATCTTATTTGGGACATCCTATCTTTTAATTTATTTTGATCACTTATTTATCAGTGTGTATGTGCGTGTATCACGGTGTGCGTGGTTGTAGGCATGCACGGTGTGTTTTCCTTCTACCTTTTGCTTCGGCGGCGGCAGGGCTGTGCTCCAGGCTAGCTGGCAGTTCCGGCTCCGCTCTCCGCTTCACCGCGGGGGTGCTGGAATTACAGATGCCTGCCATCAATTCTGGCTCTCTTTTAAAAAACGAGGGTTCAGAGGCTTGAAGTGTTCTTAGGCTTGCCAAGCAAGCGCTCTTACCCACTGAGCCATCTCAACCAGCCCACGTCTTTTAATTAAAAAAGAAATCCAAGCTTTTAAATCAACAAAATGTGGGTTTTCATGCATTACAAAAATTTATATTGGATGAAAACTGGGCATGGTATTTCTAATAAATTTGAGAGGAATGTATTTTAAAAACGAAAACAAAACAAAAAAAAAACCCAGACCTTGATTTTTGAATGGTGATAACGCCTAAGATCGAACGAAACAAACTGAGAGTTTTTTTTACCATTTAAAGAATTACTACTTTGGACTAATAACACTAAATATTCCCTTTGCTTTGAGACCAGGTTGCATTCTGTCCTATCACCGTCCCAAATGAATATTCATTTTTAAGAGCCCTCATAAGAGTTGAGAAAAAAAAAAAAAAAACATTTGAGGTAATCCTTCCATCAAATGAAGTTTTAAAATATAATTGCTGCAAAAATGCAATAACTAAGTAGAGAGCAGATCACCGCACTCGTGCGCTGCAAGCCAGGGTGAGCCAGGATAAGTGAATCCGTCAATTTCCTAGGCCTGGAGATTTGCGCCGGGCTTCAGCGTAATCGGCCCACAGAGAAGCACCATCTTGCTGTGTTTGTACTGTACGAGCCAGCGGGATTTTATAATTCTTACCTTTGAGTTGAAAATAAGGTTCAGCTTTAATTGTTTTCAAAAGGGCACATTTCTTAAGGGGCTCATTTATTCAGGAAGTGAAGGCCAATTTGCCGGTTTAAATGGAAATGGTTTTTCAGTGATCAGAAAACGTGAAGGTAAGTTTTATCATAAATGGAGCTTGCACATTTTTCTTTATTTGCCAAATTAGTTCTCATTCATGCAGGAAATGGAAACGTTTTGCCTACATTTGCATTAAAGCTCCCCTCTCTAATATTGGCTGCCTGAAAAATCGCACCTATCGTATTTTGAACAGGCAGCCCAATTATCAGTGGCTTTCAATTAGAAAGAAAGAAAAAAAAAAATCTCTCAAATTTGTAGAAAGCATCTTGGTACCTAGCTGGCAGAACCTAATTTGTGGGCAATTATAGCTTGATAACAGTCTGCAAACATTACTTTGAGTTGCTTAAGCTAAAACTAAATATTAAAAACTGCGTAATAAAAAATTGGTTGAAATAATTTTAAAGCACATGCAAAGCAAGTGTTTCACTTCCATTACTGCCGCATTATTACCTATGAACCAATAAGTGCAAATCAATGATGATGCAAAGATTTTTTTCAATTAAAACCTCATTTGGTTTTCTTTATTTAAAAACCACTGTATTTTTTTTATGCACCGAACCAATTACAAATTTTCATCAGTAATCCTGACTTGTGGGACTATATAATAAACGATAGTTTATAACTCTTTTGTAAGAATTATTAACTGAACAAGTTAATCTCATCTTCCAGCCCAAACTAAGACAAATTTCGTTTTCAGTTCCAGGATCCCAGATAAGTTATTTGAGGATAATAAATCTCACTTCATAGAGCTGTAAGGAATAAATATTTATTGTAGGAGAAAAAAACAGTTTTTCATGGATCCTAGGTGTCTAGGAAATGGGATTTCAAGTTGAGGAAACTGGTATTATTTTCTCTGTGGGGCTGGGAACACAGCAAGTGCGCTGTCTTCGAGTGGTCCCCTCTTTCCTTCTCCCAGCAACAGTACAGACACCTTTTCTTTCTTTTTTCTTTTTCTTTCTTTCTTTCTTTCTTTCTTTCTTTCTTTCTTTCTTTCTTTCTTTCTTTCTTTCTTTCTTTCTTTCCATCCTCCCTCCCTCCCTCTCCTCCTCCTCCTCCTCCTCCTCCTCCTCCTTCTTCTCTCTCTCTCTCTCTCTCTCTCTCTCTCTCTCTCTCTCTCTCTCTCTCTGAGCAGCTTTCTTTTCTTCTGGTTTCCAAGACAGTAATTCTCTCTTGGCCGTTTATTCTAACGACTGAATAGCTGACCCCTCCGATGATGCATGTACCTACTCCCCATCTCCAACCTCTGAGTTGGCTCAGGGCTCGGTTGCATGCTCTCTTCCTGACTGACAGCTTCCAGTTTCTAGTCTTTAAAATAGGATCATGACTTGAGATCTCTGAGCCCTCCTTGAGAGCTCTAGACTTCTGAGTTCCATACTCGGGGACCTAACTGGGAACTTGGCGTCTTTGCTTTGGTACAGAATAGGCAGCTCACATTTGGTACTGCTAAATCACAGCTCAGAATTCCAGGACTGGTCCCAATATTTCTCTTGAAATTCATGTGTTAGGAACAGTTCCCAAATTCATACGGTCATGGTATTCAGAGGTAGGATTATGTGAGGAGAAAAAAATTAAGATTTTTATTATGTATTAAGCATTATTAATCTTTATGGAAGATACAATAAATTGTATATTATTACACTGATAATTTATTATTAATAATAAAATTAATAAATATAATTGAAGACAAATTTCAAAGATTTATGTGGTACAAAGGAATCATTAGTTTAAACCATGTTTTCCTTTTTTATCTTGTGGGTGTGAAAATAACAATAGCCTCATGGAGCAGCTGACTTGAGCTTTCAGATGTTCTCTCCTCTTCAACGTATCTTGAGTAAAATGTCCGACTCCTTGATAAAAACACAGCCCTTTAGTGGGGACGCAGCGCGCAATGGTGGAACATTTGCTCTACAGAGGTAGACTATGAAGTCTTGGGCTGTGTCTCCTGTACTACAAACCAAACAAAACCTCCCCTAAACCCAAACAGATGCCCAGAGATGTTTTGCTCTATTCTTGAGACAGGACCTTGTTATATTGCACAGGCAGTTCTTAAACTCTTCGACTCAAGGGATCTTCCTACCTCAGTCTCCCAAGTGCTGGGATTATAGGCGTGCATCACTATGCCAGGCCCACATATTGACATACAGAATGATTTTTGCTAAGTTTTAAATAATTATAAAGAGCCATTATTGTTTGGCATACTTCCTTTGACTTTTTGGCTCCTCTCTGGCTTTGATCATCCTGAATAAAGGTTTGCTCTAGAAGTGGCATCCTCGGGAGGAATTTATTAAATGCGAGACAAATACTTCCCTGTCATGGACAGTACCTGAAGTGCTACATGAAAAGAAAAGGTCTTGACCTGTGCACAACCTTGAGTTTAAAGTGAGGAAGTTGTCCACTTGAGACCAGGTTTTGGATTAAGCTCTTTGTAAATGGTGAAGATTCATTTTTATGAAAGCAAAAGAACTGAATAGGTAGCTATTAAGACTGAATTAAAAGTTAACATCTAGGGACAGAGTTTCCATGCATATTTCTGTAGGCTCTTTCAGGCCCTGGGACATCTTGAGTGTTTTACAGTTTTGCTGCCTGGGTTTGGGTTGTGGGGAAAGAAAAAAAAATACAGCAGTGTCTCCAAGTGTGGCACAAACCAATGTCTGACCTTTTGATCCACGTTTCTAGAATCTCTCTGAGCTTTCTGCTTATATGAAAGATTGACACTTAGTGTCAGTTATGATTTGACAGTGACTGGTTTTCTTCTCTCCTCCAGTATAAGAAGCACCGTTCTTCTCAGGCACATACCAACAACTTCGCAAAGTCTGTGGTCAACCTTGTAGATTCTGTAAGTAGGCTTGCTTTTCTTGAAACTTCTTTTCATTAATCCAAAAACCACGGTTTATGTCCCTTTCTCTCTATTCACGGATTATGCTAGCTATTTCTTGGATGAAGCAAAAAATTTATTCACATACGTATCCATACATATTCATATCCTGGTGAAGAAAGTGTTGGATGGTGAGCTTTGCAAAAAAGTATTCTGGGCTTTAGAATTCTCAGAATCCCCAAGACGCTTTAGCATTGTTTCTTTCTCTTAAGCTTATTGACTTTCATTAATTATCATTTTAATTCTATGTATCTGTGGGGCGCAGTGTGATAATTCGATACATGTGTATGGTATCTAATGAGCAAATCAAGAGAAGCTGGCATTGCTACCTCCTTAAACAGTAAGAAATTTTTATTAACCCACAGTAATTGTATAGTATTGCCTCTGTTATTAGCAGAGTCCATGGGGGATAAAGAGCAACGGGAGAAGAATTTAAGGCTGGAAATTATCCTTCGCAAATGAGACTTTATTAATAACTACTTGAGCTTTTCCTAAATATTTTGCGTAAGTCGAGAAGTCCTAATGGATTGAGGCAGCATGTGTTTAGAGAATTTAGATAGATGAAAATTTCAAGGCAATGTATTTATTATCTTAGTTCTCCCATGGTGGAATGTTTCAGACTCGATTTCTAGCATTGTAGGTGATAGAATTGGGTGTCATTGCCACATAAGATAATTTGAAACAATGAAATGTCTACTTCCTTCAAAGGGGGGTCTGACCTTAAATATCTTCACTATTGACTTGCTTCCCCCGCACCCCCACTCCCCGTCACTTCCTAAGTTCCAAAGAATGACCGTTTAGATTTTCTTCTTCTTTCCTGCCTTAGGTAGTAACCCCACAGAGCTGAACTTCATACATTATGTTCCAATAAATAATTCAATTTGACTCACATAAATTAATTTATGTATTCTTCTGTGAAGTGCTACTTTGTTAGGCTAAATATATTTTATCTTGTATTTATTGTATGGACCCTCTTAACTGTGAAAAAAAATCATTTTTATAAATTGCCAAGCATCTAAATGCTACTCACTCTGAGGATCTGCCTTTTAAACAGCCCCAAACCACCCATCATGTAAATATTCATAACATATTTTGTGCACCTAGCATATGTTATGTGCCTCATAGGCACAGCTGACAAAATTGTAATATGAGTTGATGTGCATAGAATATGTAATATAAAATTAAGGTTGAGCCCCTGAGAGCCAGTTTACATCTGCCTTATTACTTTTCTTTAATTTCAGCTCTTGTCAATCTGCTCAGAGGAAAGCCATAGATGGATATGGAAAAGAGAATCTTAAACACATCTTTTCCCATGCAAAAGCTATTTATTAGGCAGCATCTCTGCGTTAGTCATTTTTGCATGATTGACTAGACTCCTACTTTGCAAAATTTAATTTTTAGTTTGTGTTATATTTATAAAGTTCTGGAGCTGATCGTTCATTGCAAAAAATATGTTACGCTTAACTCCTCTTTGTGTAAAGTCATTATAAGCGTCAACTTGATGATAATTCCTTCACTCAGTGCCTTCTCAGACCCTTCATCTGTTTTCTTAGATAGTTTAAAAGTAAGACAACATGGCAGCTCTCATGGAAGTTGCTTAATTCTGTAAGTTATGTATTTGGCCCAAAGTGGAGAGAACAGAACAGTGGCATGCTGTGTGTGAGTGATGCCACTCCGCAGTGAGGGTGAGGTTGGCGATGCAAATCTGTCTCCCCCCCCCCCCCCACTCCTTCTCTTGGCCTCAGATCCGTGATTCACTCTGAGAGTTATTATGTTGTGTGGCAAGGCAGCTGTACTGTTTGATGAACTGTCCTAAACCTGCAGGTTATATTGCGCTTAGAGTCACTGTGTCAGGCTCTGGCTTGTTGCCTCCTGTGGGGTTTGGAAAGGTTATTTTGCTGAACCCTGTTGTCAGAGCAGGTCCTGGCTTGAGAATCTTGTCATCCCTGCATCCCTCTCATAAGATGCCAGGCAACTGAAGACGCTGAGGTGGCGGGGGGGGTGGTAGTGGAAGGAAGCTTTAGGAGAGTTGAGAACACTGAATTGTGTGATTTTTTTCTTCTTGGTTTTGGCTCTTGGAAAAGAGAAAGGAAAAGAAGATGTTGTATGATTAGCTAATGCTGACCCCATGTTCTCTCACCTCCCCCTTCCTCCTTTCCGCTGACTCACTCACTGATTGTGCATGTTTGACCCAGTGTTTTCCTCCTGCACCTGTCCTGTTCTGTACCCTCAGATTTACAAGGAACAGCTCAACACCAGGGTTGTCCTGGTGGCCGTAGAGACCTGGACCGAGAAGGATCAGATTGACATCACCATCAACCCCGTGCAGATGCTGTATGAGTTCTCCAAGTACCGGCAGCGTATCAAGCAGCATGCCGACGCGGTCCACCTCATCTCGTACGTGCTATTTCCGGCTGTTGCGGCAGTTCCGGCTCGGCATTTGTCTTGATCTCCTTCCGGTATCAATTAGGTTACAGATCAGGGAGCAGTGACTTCTATAAAGTTGCTGTTGAGCCCTTTCTCTGTTCAGAGAGGTAGACTTCCAGGGCTGGGATGCTATGGTTCTCTGGCCAACCAGCTCTACTGTCGGAGCACGCAGGGCTTCTATCCTGAAGGTCAAATCACAGACCAAGATGCTTCTGGCACGGTTGCCTTCATTGCAGGCAACAGGCCTGCCAGGCTGGGAGAAGGGCAAGAGGGAACTCCTTTTGTTTCCGGAGCCTGTGTGGGTCTGTCCCACCCAGTTTGCGAGAGCGTAGTCACGTGACCACACCTCGTGGTAGGAAGTCTAGAAAATACCTTTTTAGATGAACCGATGAATACGGTTGTGTCTCTGTCATGGAAGGAGGAGGGCTGTGCTTCTCTCCACTCTTCCTCCTTCCTTCTCACGGCAAAGCCCTTTTCACACACGCCTCCGTGGTTCCGTCCTGCCGTCAAGCCAAACAAACAGTCCCTTCCTTACCTTTTGCTTCCGTTCTCTCGTCTTTCTCAGCCTTGATCAGTTTGTGACAATTAGCCATAGCTGCTCTCTAGTGGAAAGAGCCGATGTGTTCATAACGGCGTAGACTGAGATCTATTTAAACACAGTTTTTATTTCCAGTTGAGGGTGGTTTTCAGGCTGCAAGGTGTGGGAGAATACCTATGTTTGGGGAACGTTTCTGTGGTGTTTCCTAACAGTACTTTGTTTCTCTAAGGCGTGTGACATTCCATTATAAGAGAAGCAGTCTCAGTTACTTTGGAGGTGTGTGCTCTCGCATCAGAGGGGTTGGTGTAAATGAGGTAAATTTCATGCTTTTTTTTTTTTTTTGGTTTTTTGAGATAAGGTTGCTCTGTGTAACAGTCCTGGCTGTCCTGGAACTCACTTTGTAGACCAGGCTGGCCTCAGACTCTCAGAGATCCGCCTGCCTCTGCCTCCTAAGTGCTGGGATTAAAGGCGTGCGCCCCCACCACCCGGTTCATGCTTTCTTTAACTAGAGCTCTGTCCTTACAACTGATGGCTTTCTTTATTAAGACTCAGTGTATAACAGTGCATTTTTCAATGGTGACACTGAGGTTGTAGCATGAGTGACAGATCAGTAAACAGAACAGTTAAGTTCATCATGACAGCTTTGGATATCGCCACGGTAGTTTTGCCAAGTGTAGACATTTCCTGAAAATTGGCCTATGTAGCTGAGACGCTGTTTTTATAAACTTATCAATCTTTTTCCTATGACTTGTTTTTAAAAAGTTTTTAGTGCTTTCCTGCATATACCAAAACTAACTCATTTAAATCAAAAGTTTACAGATTATAGTTTGTCTCTCTATGTACATTTTCATTTTTACATTTTCTTCTTAAGTTCGGTATGAATTGAAGCAAATGTTTTCATAGAATCATTGTTTGGGCACCTTTATTATGAAAATTCTTAGTTGAAAAAAGCACCTCAAAGCTTAGCCAGCTGTGTCAGAACCCTGGCCAACACTGGAGAATATGCTTTTTACCAGGTGGTCCCACTTGTTCAGTGGGAAACCTTTCTGGGCGGATTTGCATGATGTGGAGTCTATCCTTAGCTCACACTGAGTTGGAGCCCAGTCTGGGTGACTTGTATTTTCTGTTTCCATGTGGAAACTTCCTGCTCTCAGTGCTTCTGGTGGCACCGTCTCAAGGGAGAAATGATGATTCAAGAGGGTATGCCATCTTTAGCTGTTGTCAAGCTCTGCTATGGACATGAAAAGATAGCGATAACAATTAAGGAATAATCACTGTGTCTGTGCACTCTCTCAAATGTTTCCCCACGCACTTTCAACTCTGAAAACCAGTATGGTCTTCCAATGGCAGTGGCACAAGTAGTATCGCAGAGCCTGGCTCAAAACCTTGGAATCCAGTGGGAGCCTTCCAGTAGGAAGCCAAGTATGTACACTGACTTCTTTAATTAAGCTCATGTATTATTCTGTCTGTGTAACGCATGTCCAGTCATTGAGAATGTTTGATTCCGAAGTCACTGTAGTTTAATTATAGTGTTATCTCATTCCTTTAAAAAAAAAAAAGTCTTGAGCAGCTTGAGATAATTATTAGGCTATTTAGGTGGGAGACATTTCTCTTTCAAAATCCATAAGCTGATGCCTGCTCAGTTCGTTCTTACATTGAGACTATTAAGACAAGGTGGGGTGGTGGTGATTGATACGCTCCTCAGACTCCTAACCATTTGAGCATAGACACAACATGCCAGCTCCAGCTCCAGGGAAAGCTCATCAAAGACACGGTGGCATGGGAAGGAGCTGAGGTCTTCTCAAGCAGACAAGGATCTCATATTTAAGTGCTCATGACCCTTACCCACACAGTCACATCCAAACAGGTGAGCCCTCCTTCCCTTCCTGGGAAAGCCTGCCACTGGCCTATTAAGCTTGGGACGGGTAGGAGAGAGACAAAATGGTCCTGGTGCAGAGGTAGGTCCAAGAGGGAGTTCATCCATGACCCCTGACCCATGCGGCAAAGTAAGACAAGTGACTGTTGATGTCACTCCGTTTGATCAATGTTTTCATGGAGAAGGAAGGAAAGAATCAACTTATCCAGTGGACCGAGTACTAAGGGACCATCAGAGATTTAGAAGCTCATGGATTTATCTAATTTCTTTTAAAAATCAGGCTAAAGTCCATATCTCATTTCTTTTAAAAGCAGGATGAAGTCCAGCCTGAATTATAGCCCCCTTTGTGCTAGCACAGTACTCAAATATAATTTTGATACATTTATTTTTGTGGTAGAAGGCACAACATCACAATAGAACCTTGGAGAAAGAGAGCAGCACTGTTCATTTAATGAGAAAATAAGCTGAAGTCCTCGTCCTCTTTTTATAATAGTGAGAGCTAGGAGGAAAAAAATCTCTTTTCCCACTGAGACCTTCCCGGAGAAGAAAAGAAAAATGCATTATCTCGCATGCTGTCCTGTGTGTGATTAATATGGAGCACTGTCGGGGAGTGGAACAGCATCTTGTGTCCACAGGCTTGATTCCCTTTATGGGTACGTTAATGACCAAGCACACAAGCCATCATGACACCCGCACATTTTGCAAATCTGTATAAACTTGCTTTACTAATATCTTGCTCAGAGCATTTACTTTCTCATGGAAGTGGCTGCTCCACCTTAAAAAGTTTCAGGACCTGGCCCAGGTAGCTCAGAATCAGGAAGGAGAATCACTAGGTTCAATAACTGAAAATCCTGGAGGCCAGTACGGGGGTCAGCTGAGAGATGTTAATGGGTTGGATGGTATCGCAGCACAGGATGGCTGTTCTCCAAGTCTCTGGCTGATCCCGGCAGTGACTCCAGCAAATTGAATTCCTTTCTTTAACTGCCCTGTGTCTGAAGGACTTTGGTGACATTGTCTTGTATTCTTATAGATCATCCAGGGATGCCATCTGGGTCAACCCTAGAACCACTCTAGGAAATAGGCAGAGAGGCACTGCTTCCATTTTAGAAGCAGAACCCCACACACAAAGAAAGAAAGAAAGAAACAAAGAAAGAAAGAAAGGAAGGAAGGAAGGAAGGAAGGAAGGAAGGAAGGAAGGAAGAAAGAAAGGAGGAAAAAAAGAAAAAAGCTGAGTGGCTTCCCTATTCCCTAGTGGTAGACTAGAATTCAACTTTTTGTTTCTAGCCCATCATACTTCTAACTGTACACGCATTGGGTTTTATGACTCTAATTGACATGTCTGAGGTACAAAAACGAAGAGGGGCCCAAGTTTTTTTCTTAGGAAGCAACCTATATACTCCAGGCAAAAGGAACCATTGATTTAAAGGAAGTAGAGGAGCCTTGACACTGTGTGTCTTTGATGTAAAGTGGGATTGAGGAATTTTTGCAGGAGCTGGTGCAAACTGAAACTGTGATTTTGTTTCCCGCCCTCCCTTCACTGCTCTTATTGTTTCATTGGGCTAGAATGTGAATGCATAGAATCCTGGGGCGGCTGCATCATGGAAGAAACAGGGTGAGTTTGTATCACTCTTGCCTTTGATGTATGCCTGTTGTAGAAATTGCTGCATATATAATAATTAGAGGCACAGTCTCTCAGGTACTGGTCTTTTAGGCTAGGCACTTAGAATAAATTCAGTAATTAATTGTCTGGTATTTTAAAACTGACAGTGCTAATTCACTTTATATTTTAATTTTTAATTTAAGGTTGGGGAGAAATGCGAAATGTATTAGCCACTTCTATTTATTAACCCTTACAGGAGTCACATGACTAAAAGCTTCTGCATTTAGGGGAGGCATTAATCTTTTAATATACTTAGAGTAAAAAGCAGATGGTCTATCTGAGGCAGTCAGTGAAAATCAATTCAGTCATCCATTTACATTCTTAGGAACTCATAAATACATGTTTATGGTAATAAATTTATAGTATACTCTTTATAAAGTCAACAGAGCTTTTTTTTTTTTTTAATTTGGAGTTATAATGCCTAAACAAGAGAGTTGTCAAGTGGTAGACCATCAACATTAATTCACCCGTCTTTACTTGGTGGGCACTTAGGTAACCAGACCAGCTGTTCCACAGCATCAGTGTACTGAGCCCTGGAACCAGCGCTGTTGGCACAAGACTCCTGCACTGTGCAGGCCGCTGACTCTAAGCCTCCTAAGCGGTAGCCCACTTGGCAGTCGGAGGGAGAGGTGTCTCTTACTGTCTTTGTTCAGGCCAGACACCTGCGCGCTCCCGTTCCTTGTCCTACCTTTATTCTGCACTGGTTACCACCTCCTTTTCCAGGGCCCCTGCCTCCTCCCACCAGACCCTGGAGAGGAGAAGGCATGTGCAGTTAGCCGCTCTCCCCACGACTTCGGAACGTACTCCTAGAAATGCAGTCCCGTCTAGAGAGGCTTGCCCTTCCTCAGCCACGTTACTTGAGCTCCATGGTTGAGTCCTGTATAATAATAACACAGGGTTCGTAGCTGCCATAGAGAACAGTACCACTCATAATGTTGGTTTCATAGGACAATATTATTGTCTTTTAAACTGTCAGTTTCTAAATGAGTTTTGGATTGAGTACTTATAAGATGTAATAGACTATTTGAAGTTAATGTATGTTTTCTCAAGCATATATTTGATATACTTCTTGTAAGACATCACCGTCAATAAAAGGTGAGTTTTAACTCCACAAGTACCCTCCTATATCAGAATACGTAAACTATTGTATTATATCCTAGAACGGCCTCTCCTACTGGGCACTACTGTAGATATTCCCGAGGAAGCATCGTGTATGATTTAGCTTAACCTTGACGTGTGTGTGTGTGTGTGTGTGCTATTCCCTTGTGTGCTGACATAGGGGTCTTAATTTGATTGAATAAATTACAGAGAGGTTCATTTTTTATTCATGCTAAATCATGAATATTGCTCAATAATTGTATTTGAAATGAAGAATAAAGAACCATTGCTCATGGGAGCATGCCTTAATTCTTTTTTGCTGTGGGCATACACACTGATAACATATGCGTGTATGATCCAGCACATACTTCAGGGTTTATTCATTTACTTAAAATTTGGATTGTTGAAGCCTGAGTAACATTGTCTTTAATAAATTGACTCTCCTGACTCCCTCTTCAAAAAAAATAAATAAATAAGGTCTAGTAGGCTGATGAGCCCCTTTCATTCCGAACAGGATAAAAAAAAAACTGTCTTTATTGAGACATCGTAAATAAAAATAATCAAACTTTAAAACCTATCTTTGATTTCAGGTTTTATAGTAACCCTTTCAAGTTGTATTTCAAGACAGAGTTGTTTCAAGACAGATTTCAGGAGAGTTGATAGCTAGGGAGTAAGCAAGCCCCTGGTTCTGTGATGGTTTTTTCTTTTCTTTCGTTTACATACTCCACCCCATAAACATAGCCATATGGGTTCACACATCTTGTCAATATTTGTGTAGATTCATCTACGTCCAGAGTGAGCATTCAGTGTTTCTTAATTTTCTTCTCTTATGATTGCTCTTGTTAAACTGTTTGCATCCTTGATTCTTTGTTTCCTAAGGGTATCCCATTCTCGAAAGTTCTCCAAGTGCAGCATTGCAGAATACAGAGACTTCTTACAGAGAGGAGGCGGATCCTGTCTTTTCAACAGGCCAACAAAGGTTAGCAATTTAGAAAGCAAAATTATTTTTTCCAAAGCTTAGCAGTAAGAATGTGCCAAACATCAGAGATTTCTCTCAGGAAGCAGGTCTTTTGTCTCACGGTTTAATATATTGTCACAAGCAATCTCCCTTCCTCAGCCTCCCAAATGCTAGAATTACAGGTAAGAATCACTATAACCACCATGGAAAGATGTTCAGTTATAGGAAGTCTCTGCATGCTGAAGACTGAGTGAAAGATCAAATTGTGGATCTGTGTCCAGTGCTTGCTTGCAGACTCCACAAGCCCCTCAAAATGCAAAAATTTCCCCCAATTTTTATGTTAGGGTTTCCACCTTTTTGCTAAGGGATGGGGCATTATAACGAAAAGAACTCTCTCACTTGAATCCATTCTTTGCCAACAATCTCATTTAACCCTAACATTCTTTCTGGACGCTTAATTTCCCTCTCTTCCTGAGAGCCTCGTCTACCCTCCAGCCCCAACTCCTTCACTTTCTACAGTGATCTGATCCCAGGAAGGAGGCATTACTGATATCAGCCAAGACACACACACACACACACACACACACACACACACACACACGCACGCACGCACGCACGCACGCACGCACACACACACACAGAATGGTTTTGGTCTAACACTTACGGATTCTGTAAGTACCGCAGGTAATTCTGCCACATAGTCCCCTTCCCTTGGCAGCCCAGGCAGTCACTGGCATTTCACAGGAGTGTGTATAAATGATATTGCAGCTCTGTAGCCACAAATTAAGAAAAACGAAACAAAAAAACCCTACACATTTCCAGAAGAGGTTTTTAGGAGTTTTCAGAAAACACATTTGACAGAAAATCGCCTAAATTTTGAAAGTCTTCATTCAGTCCTCATGATGTAAATATTTATGTCTTGCTGTGGAAGCATGAAATGGTTTGATTATAGGATGTGCTCCAGTCCCCTTGACATTGAACATGGCCAGTCATCATTCTTGGCTAAAGTTCACCAAAGACAGAATTCTCAAACTGACAGGCTAAAGCCTTTGCATAAGGCCCCGTGTTTTTATAGGAGCATGTTTGGAAATGAAGCAGGCCAACAGCTGAAAAGACCGTATCTGCACTTAGCAGATGGTAGTGGAATCTGAACATGGAAAAAAAATTCACTTTTCCTTTAGAATACACCTCATGAGTCAGACAGAGTTCATTTGTATAGAAAATGTTCACTACTCTACAAATTTAAAGTGTGGCAATATCATGGTGACCTTTTCTTAAAAAAAAAAAAAAAAAAGTTGATTAAGGCAAACAACGGGTAGACTAATTTATTCCATACCTGGAGCTGAGGGATACAGCTGGGTCAGGGAATGGAAGCCTGGGATCTGACATCCCTGCAAAAGCTCAGTGAAATGAAAGCTCTGTAAATCCCAGAAAAAGGAATTGAGACTTTTTAAAGTGACTTTGTACCATTAAAATAGGCCGAAGGCCTTTCCTGGCCGTCACCTCCAGGCACGGAAACCAGAAGGCTTCCAGGCATTTGAAATGAGTGAGATCTGTGATAAAGTCCTAATGTGGACTGCTGGCAGTTTCGAATCACACAGTGCATGGTTAGTGTTACCTTGCCTTGCAGACGGCAGCTGATTGTAAGCAGGGTGCTTGAGGAAACAGCACTCGCTTGTCTGGGGGCGGTTAAGGTTTCTAGGAGATACACAAAGATCGACCATTGCTTTTCTCAGGTTTCCTACGGCAGGAAGAAAATTATATCCCGGTAACTTGGGAATTTCACACACACACACAAAGTGTTTACATATTCAATTTCAGAAGGATAATTTCTCCTTTTAAACTACAAGTTACAGTGATTAAAAAAGAAGGCCCTGTGGATCGCAGTGGAATAGTTTATATGTATATGTCAAAGAACTATTTTTTTCTCCCTAGTGTTCTTAGTCAGTGAATATATGCATAGGCATGTGTTGCTTATCATTTTCAGTTTATATGCATATTTTCTGTGCTTTAGAAATCTTCCCAATTGCTGTGATTTCCAGCTGGTTTGAGATGGTGACCCATCTCAGGAAGGGGAAAGCACCAAGAATGAAAAGATGGAAGTGTTGGTTATTTTTTAGCAGCCTTGGTCCTTTCTATTATCTCCTGCCTGCCAATCAGAGTAGCATGGAGATTAGCATTATTGACTCCCATCCAGCTTGGCAGGAAACTTTTCTTGCTTTCTATAATAGTTCCTTCCTTCCTGGAACTAGTAGAACTGGTAGACTCAGTGGAAGGTAACTGTTGCCCACAGTGTGTATGGCTGCTAGGGGAAGGCTCCTCTTCTCTTGTTCACGGCTTTGAGCATTTGTGGTTGGGATGTGCTGTTCCAGCTCCCCACAACACACAGCCAGAAGTGGTTATCGTACCCAGAGAAATCCTGTTCCAATAGGAAATAGACACATTTGTCATAAGTAATCAACTTCCCCAACATCTGGTCTACAATATTTTCATCCAGAAACAAGTTCATGGCATCACTAGGGGGGAATATTCTAGAAACTTGCCTCTGTTATGACCTCAGCAATGACTGAGAGAATTCTATGTTTTCGTTCACATGTCTATACATTAATTTTTTTCTTCATGAAACTGAATTGGGTATTAAGAGATTGAGTATTTGCACATAGTTAATTGAACGAAATTCCCAAGTTACTGGATTCATTTTCTTTCTGCTCACAGGTAATTCAAGAAATACAATGGTGGGACTTTGTGCCAGACAATGCACATTTCTTTCCAATGAGTGTGATGGCTTTGAATCTCTGGCAACATGGTTCTAAGCTTATTGGCGTTTCCTTGGTTGTATATCTCACATTTGGCTTTGACCAAACATATGTATCTTTCTGACAGTTTTGAGGTCTTCTCAGCTGCCTTCAGTCAAGTCAGCAAATTAGATATCTATGAGTCTTGTTAGTAATACATTTTAGCCCCATTAGAAAACATGGGAAGCGATCCATTTCTCTTGACGGCTTATCTCCATAAAAGTCATTCTAATGCTTAAGGTCGTCTCCTGGGACCCCACTAAGGAAATCCCCCTTTCTAACATGTTTTTAAGAGCGTTATTAATAAGTAAATAGTATTCCCCCCACACACAATATATATATATATAAGATGCCGTAGTAAAAAGTCAGGGGTCTGGAAGGATGACTTAGCAGTTAAGGAAACTTGCTGCTCTTTCAGAAGTTTGGAATTTGGGTCTCTGCACAATGCTGCACAGTTCACAACCATTTGTGACTCCAGCTCCAGGGGACCCAGTGCTCTCTTCTGGCCTCTGTGGCAACCCATGTGCTTGTGTGCATACCTTTACATCACTACACACATATACATAAATAAAAAGAAATATAAAATAATAATAAATCATAGAAGAATCATATGACAGCGAGTAACATAGCTTTGCAGATGGCCAGGTTGGTGTGTGGATTTTCTGTGATAAATTCAAATGCTGCTCTTTGCATTCTCCAATCTCTTTCAGCTGTTTGAGCCCACAGAGTGTGGAAATGGATATGTAGAGGCCGGGGAGGAATGTGATTGTGGTTTCCATGTGGTAGGTATAAGAGAATGTCTTTACTTTTAGTGCGGTTCACCCTCTGAGTTAACAAGACAAGAGTAGTGAGCAGCCAAGCTATCATTCATCATGGGGTCACTGCCTTATTTTTTTCTTTTTTTCCTGATCGCTATGATCAATGCTTCATCCCAGCTCAGACACGTAAGAATTAGTCATGTTGTCGTTACAGCCTTGTCTGAAAAGCCTAATGGATTGTTCTAATCAAATCCCTGACCTTTACAAAGTTAATTCAGAGCTCATATTCATCTCAGGCACCTTCTACAGAATGTTTTCCTATGCTGTGTGTTATTTTTTTTCCTTTATAAAACTAAACCCGGGTATTAAGAACATGGTAGAGTTATAGAGGTGTTTGTGTTTTGGCGGTGAGGAGGGGGTGGGAGAGGGAAGGTGCCTGCTAATGAGTAATCATACTGATGGGAGAACAGTCTGCTGAGAAATGTGCCTGGAGTCTGTCATTATTTAAAGTGATTGATTCCTTCCTAAAATGTTAGTACTGTTTATAGAAGTCTTGTTATCTGATGCATAAGCTACTCATGGAGGGAATGCTGAATGAGCGGCGGCGTGTTCCTGGTGTGCTCACAGGAGTGTTTTCTCTCTCTAGGAATGCTACGGAGTGTGCTGTAAGAAATGCTCGCTCTCCAATGGGGCACACTGCAGTGATGGCCCCTGCTGCAACAACACCTCGTGTCTTGTGAGTCCCTTGGGAATTTCATCTTTCCTCTCATTCATTCACAGATGAGCCAACCATCTCCGCATGTCTGTTGAACTTTGGAATAAACTTGAGACAAGTTTATGCGTGTTAGCCCAGTGATATTGTAGAATCGATAGTTACACCCAACTTCTGTGGGTCATAGCAGGCATCTTCTCTGTTTTCCACACTCCACTGTCCTGCTCTCCCCTACTTCCTCTAGAGGGTGTACCTGTACATCCTCCAAGTTGCTCTGTTAACACAGAGGAACAGATTAAATCATCGGACAGAGGCGAACAATTCGGTTGGTCTTTTGAATAATAAGACCTACTTCCAACATTTGTTTTTCAAAACTTACCCTAATTTGTTTTAGACCCACAGTAGAAACACTAGTCCTTATATCTCCCATTTGGCTTTCTGAATCTTTTGTAAAGTCAAGAAAGCCAGATGAGGAAGTTCACATATGTTCACAAGTGTGCATGCATGTGTGTGTGTGTGTGTGTGTGTGTGTGTGTGTGTGTGTGTGTGAGAGAGAGAGAGAGAGAGAGAGAGAGAGAGAGAGTATGTGTGTGTATAGTCTTCCACTTACAGTGACTGCCAGTTAATTTTGAAAAGTCATTTTAATACTCCTTTTTCTCATATATCAGATTCATGACATTTCTGATAACTATAAAATTATACAACTTTATTACTTTTTTAATAACAGTGGAGGTTCTATATCATGATATGTTAGAAGATTCCAGCCTAGTTTGTGCTTGCTTTACATTACCTACCAAATGATAAATTGCTTGAGGCTAATTGAGACTTCTCATTTACCCATTCTTTGCCAGACAAACAAAATGTTTTATTTATCACAGGTAGTCATGGACACCACTGACGACGATGATTTATAGGAATTCATTGTAATTTGTTGCATGTATTTATCTAAAGCAAGATTAATACACTAATGGACAAATTAGTGACGGTTTGGTATGCATATCAGTCCTTCAGAGAAATCTTGAATGTTTAATGACAGTGTTTCATTCCTTTGTGTTAAAAGCTAAACCAGTGTGTCTTCTTCACGTAATTTTCATCACATTGTTTTCTTAATCGGTAGAGACAGTGGGTTTTATAGTCTCCACACAGTGTCTGTTTGGTGCTCCTCTTCAGTGTCGGATGAGCATCTGAGCCTCATTTCTAACCTTCAATGATTTTACTAAATTATAATGATTGTGAGGAAGCACAGGACTGTTGGCGAATGTAAGGGTGGCAGCCTTTTGGAGAGTCAGTTCACACCAGCTCCTAATGTTGGGTTTTGGTTTGCAGTTTCAGTCACGAGGGTATGAATGTCGGGATGCTGTAAACAGCTGTGATATCACGGAATACTGCACTGGAGACTCTGGCCAGGTATGGAAAACTGCATCTGAGCTCTATTGTGCAATGCATCGTTTAATTTCTCCGATAAAGACTGCATGTGTGGACCTGTTTTGGTTTCTTTATTTAGCTTTGTTTTCTAGGTGTTTCTAGCTCTCTACCATACTATTACTTCAGGGAGTTTGGTGTAGTATTTGGGGATTTTCATCTCTCGTCTCTTTTTTCTAAATTTCCCCTTCATAAATATTTTTAGACGATTTATACTTAACTCATAAACCTTTTTCCTTAGGCCCCCGCATCTTACATGCTGTCTTCAAACATTGTGAACACATTTTTTTTTTGAAAACAAGTTTTGGAAGGGAGCTGATGTAGGAAACCAGGAGCAAGCAGAGCTTCTAATTTCTTGTCAGCTGCCACTGTCCCCTGCGGTCCTGCTTCTCGGCCTCTGTGCTTTGGCACGACTTTGGTCCATTAAAGTGGTTATAACACTGTAATTAATATTGACTTCTTGAATCCCTTTTTGTATAATTTTTGCAGTTTTTTTTTATTTATAACATGTTATTTTATGTCCTTATTTGCCATTCAAATGAACATCTGTTGAGCTGCTTGCCAAGTACTGCTGTAAATGCCAGGATGTCGAAGGGAACATGATTGTTGAGTCCTTGCTCTAGTGAAACTTAGGTTCTGTTGTGTGTAGCGAGGCAAATAAGTTAAACCTATAGAGATATGTGTATGTATACAATAAGGTGCTGTGTAAAGAAGAATATGGTGGGAAATTAGGTTGGAGGAGAGGGTATTGCAGTAGCTGTGGAAGGAGTTAGTTTGTGAACAGCAACTGCAGAGGCATGGCTTCCATGGAAGTAGTATAAAAGGCAGAGCTGGAGTTGAGTACAAAAAGTTTCCAAAGGATGTCAAGGTTCTGGCTGGTGGGACCTGTGTGCCACAGAAAGGATTTGGGATTTCATTTGACCTTCATTTTCTTTCTGATGGGTCTTCAGAAGGCTTTCCTGAGCTAGTGTGTGTGTGTGTGTGTGTGTGTGTGTGTGTGTGTGTGTGTGTGTGTGTGTGTGTGTGTTTGTGTGTGTGTTTGTGTGTGTGCGTGTGTGTGTGTGTTTTATGATCACATGATGCAAATTTATCGGTTGATTTTTACCTAGTGGTTCCCCATTAGATTTTGCTAGTTTTCTTTCATGGCATTGTCAGTATGGAAGTAAAGACCTCTGTGCATTTACAGGTCTGTTTCTCATGGAGAGCTGTCTCTCTAGATGAAGTTCCCAGGACTGGAGTTACCAGCTGCAAGGTGCAGCGGCTTCCACTGGGATCACAATGGATACAGTACAGTTTGAAGTCAAACGATCACACTATGAAAATGACAATGACCAACTTGAGTTCTAGGCATCACTTAATACAAGGGCGACCTGTGTCTTTTAATAGATCCTGGTTCAATTTGTAGCGACAGGTAACTGACACCGTCGTCCAGTGTGGCTCCCCTATAGAGGCAGGCCCTTCCACAGTGGATAGCCTGGCGAAGCAGTGCAGACTGCGGCTTCCCATCCACATTACACTTTCTGGCTCAGAGTGTCTAATTATTCTCCACCAGCTTATCAGCCAATCAGTCCAGTAGTGGGAGAGCAGAATGGTTGGCTGTACGGAGTTCTGTTTGCTAGAAGGGACTATGAGAAGAGAGAAAGGAATACGCCAGTTAGCCTTTAGAAAGGTCTTCATATTATTGCCCAGGGCTCTGTTAATGATGTAGCACATGGAAACATGTCCTGTGTGTGTCCTTCTTGCACATCTGCCCCTCATATTTAGATATACATGCAGATTTCTTTCCATTTTTTCTCTGTAGTGTAATGACAGTGCAAAAACTGTGGATTCTGTCTTTCACAAGTCTAACAGTCCTGGCATACAATTTGATTGAGTCGTTAGTTTCATAGAATATTACTATTTTCGTAACTGCCGTATGTGCCCTTGGCTCTCACGTTCAGTCTTCTTAGAAGACTTTCAATCTTTAATTCCTGAATTGCCGTGGAGTTTACTGGAAATGAGGTTTTTAGAATGAGGACATTGGGGCTGGGGAGTGGTTTGGTGGGTAAAAGGCTTCCTGTGCAACCCTGAGGGCCTGCGTTTGGATCCCCAGCATCCCCATGAAAGCACATGTAGTGGCACATGCCTGTAATCTCAGCGTGGGAGGCGGACACAGGAGAATTCCCGAGCAGCTAATCTAGCTGATTGGTGGGTTCCAGGTCAGGTGAGAGACCCTGTCCCAACACACAGATGTGGAGAGTGATTAGAAGATACCCAGAGTCAACCTCTGATCTCCACAGGCACACATGGAGTTGGGTGTGCACATACACACACCACACACACACACACCACAATACACATGTGTTCATATACTATACACACACATATACACACACACACACCACACACACACCACAATACACATGTGTTCATACACTATACACACACATATACACACACACACCACACACACACACACCACACACACACACACCACAATACACACGTGTTCATACACTATACACACACATATACACACACACACACACACACACACACACACACCACAATACACACGTGTTCATACACTATACACACACATACACACACACACACACACACACACGCACACACACACACACCACAGTACACATGTGTTCATACACTATACACACACATATACACACAAAAGTAAAATAAAATAGGACCTCTTTGCTCAACCTATTTTATGGTCTAAGAAATGCAATTGTTTTTCTTTTTACCTCATGTATCTTTGGTGGAAACCGTACCATTAAATTCGTCTTTCAATGGCACGTTAGAATAGAATGTTATTTTATTAGTAATTTTAAAAATCTGATCATCAGAATGAACCCAAAGTAGGTGTTTGATGTAGAAGGACATAAAAGCCATAATATTTTCTTCTATTTTGTAAGGGACAATGGATTTTGAATTTATTGATATTCAGAGTTTTTTATGAAATAGAATCTCTGCACCCCATGGCTGTATTATGCCCTTGTCTTTTTGACTTCATGTTTTTAGTTAATTTTTATATTAGCATCTACTGATATCTCTGAACTCCTTTCTTTTAAAACATAAAAAAATAAAAAAGTTAAAACAAAAACCACTGTATCAAAGTTGGACAAGCCAAGCCAACAGAAAAATAAAAGAGCTCCAAGAGAAGGCACAAGAATCAGAGACCCATTCCTTCACACATTTGGGAGTCCTGTAACAGTGCTAAACTGAAAGCTATAATATATACACAGAGGACCTGGTGCAGACCTGTATAGGCCCTGTGCTTGCTCTTTCAGTCTCTGAGTTCAGATGAGCCTTGCTCAGTTGTTTTAGACGGCCTTGTTCTCCTGATGTCCTGCAGCCCCTGTCTCCCCCACCCCTTCCGCCTTCTCTTCTGTTGAGTTCCCTGAGCTCTGAGGGGAGGGATTTGATGGAGACATCTCATTCAGAGCTGTGTTGAACTTTTTTCTTTTTTGTTGCGCAGTTTATGATGGAACAATCAATACTCAAGGAACTGAAAGAAATCCTCAAACAATAACAGTGACATAACAAAGATATTTGAAAGCTGTGGAAATGGTCTCTGCAAGCACTAATAATTAGTGGGGGTATTCCATAATTTAAAATAAGCACCATTGAAACCGCTTCAGGTGAATCTTCTGGTATGCCCAGATCACGCAGACCCCCAAAAGACAACCACAGAGACCCAATCCCATATAGGAAATGTTTGGAATGTCAGGTATTTCCCCTTAGATGCAGGCCCTCCCTGGGTAGGTTAGCTCTTGGCCTTTTCTGGATTCTGGGTGTTTGTTACCTGCCAGTAAGCCTGTTACAGAGGCCGTGTCTGGGCCTCTAAACCTGTCATGGCAGTTGTGTGGTCAAGCTGTTCCCTCCCCTACCCCCCTATCCCCACCCCTGCCACCGCCCCACTTCCTGCATGGCATCCCAGGTGAATTTGGGGTGCAGTGGTGCTCCAGAGCTTTACTCCTAGAGGAGAAGTCTAGATTTACTCCTGTTCTGCACACCCTGGGAGGATGAAAGAAGACTCAGATATTTCCCGTTAAATATTTTAGTGATGAGCAACTGCCCTTAATGATTTTTTGTTGTTGTTGTTGTTTTAGTTTTTTTTTTTTTTTTTTTTTTTTTGTTCAGGCAAGATCCTATTTTGCAGCCCAGGCTGGCCATGATCATTCCATTCCTGCTTGCTGCCTCCAGACTGCTGGGATTCCAAGTGTCTCAGTGACTTTTCTATTGCTGTGATTGCCGTGACAAATCCCTTGACTGCAACAAATTATAGAAGAGCCAAACCGTTTTACCAACTGGGGACCAAGTATTCAAATCTGTGTGCCCATGGGGCCGTTCTCATTCAGATCACCACAGCAGGTGTGCACCGCCACACCTGTCTTAACAACTGGCTTTTCTTAGCCTAAACTACAAGCAGATTGATTAGAAGTCACCTCACTTGTGGCTGTGACAGTTTATAATGAGGGCTATTTTTTTTGTGTGTGTCAGGAGAGCAGTCTTCCAGTTTTTTTTTTTTTTTTCCTTTCCTTTCCTTCTCAAGACGTCACAAAGGTGACATGCCTGTTCTTGGAATGCCTTTTTTCCCCTGTCCCCATTTCTATTTACTGTGGTTGTACTGGTTTTAAGGGTAAGTGAATAATTGATGATAGTTGATTAACGAGATAATGATTGTTTTCTGAGGGAATTCAGAGAGATGGAAGAGGCCACAGGGACCTCTGCTTCTGTAAAGTTTGTGTTAGTGTCAATCAACACATCCCGAAGATAGGCAGCACCAGGCAGAGCGAAAAGTCATGATGGATAAAACCGTCAGGGGCTCCAGCCTTTAGGAAGATGTAGAACTGACTTTCTTTCTTTCTTTTTTTTTTTTTTTTGCAAAGTGTCCTGGAGTGTATCATTGCTCCTGGGAAATGCTGTATGAGTCCTCATCCTTCTGTGACGAGCTCAATGCACCGCCCTAGGTGTGCGGCCTAAAAGAACTCCATTTTACCAGTATGGGCGGTCCATTCATTTTCTTAGTCGGCTGGTAGTAATTGAGCGCCCACGGCAGCCCGGTGGTGCTTTGTGCTGCAGGAAAAGCAACCAGAAAACCCCGCCTGCACGGAGCCCATGTAATTGTGGGCACGAAAGTGAGCCGACAGGGGAAGTATATGGATTGTCAGCTGGTGGTAGGTGTGGTGGAGAAGGAGCACATAGGAAATGGGGGACAGAGAATGCCAGCATGGGAGGGAGCGGCCGCCTTAAAGAAGGTGGTTTAGAGAAGTCTCTTTGGGAGGGCGATGGTTGAGCAAGACCCCTAGAGAGAAGATGGCGTGAGCCTTGCAGTAGTCAGGCAGTGGGCTGGCAGCATGCCTGGCGTATCACAGGGACTCCCATCAACTATTGAGAGAGCTGGAAATGAGGTCAGGGAGATAATGGGGTGTGGATGGGAGAGGCAGACACGTGGAACTTGGACGAGATTCAGAATTTTTAAGCAGGGGACCAACATGATTTGGTGTTTATGTTTTAAGGGATCTCTCTGGGAGTGGTACAGCAAACTGGAGTGTAAGCAGGGAGGCCTGGGTTGGAGCGTATAACACAGGTTCGAATGATGGCAGCCTAGACCTGGGACTAAATGGTAGAAGTTGTGGAAAAGAGTTGATGTTTCCAAGTGAATCGGAGGATTTGCAGTCACACTGGGTGGTGTGTGTGAGATGAAAAGACAAACGGGGTTGCTGATGAAGAAGGATAGAGGCTCTGGATTGAGGCCTGAGCCATTGTTAGGGTGAAAATCCATTGGCTGAGAAAATAGGGAATGAGGAAGGACCTCCATGCGTCTCCCTACGTTACTTACTCCTTGTCCCATATTCTCTTTCAACATTCTGACACCTGACATTTCCCCCACTCTCTTAACTGTGTAAAAAGTGTAACTTCACTTATTCTGGATAACTTCTGGGTAAAATGAAGTGCACTTTAAAATGGTGTGATAGATAGTTTTGCTAAAAAAAAAAAAAAAACCTACTTCCCCGTAGATTTTTCTAGTCCAAGTCTGTGGTTTGAGAGGTCAGAGATGTCACAGTGGTACAGCACTTACGTTGATTGCATTGTGGTTCAAGACTGTTTCTTCTGCTGCTGCAAAGTGTCCCATCGGCACCTGTCACCATGTCACATGCAGATTTGACATTTACAAGGAGCTTGGAAAGGTCTTGCAAATTAGTTCTTAATGTGTCCACTCCTACACAGCAAGCTGATTCACCCCCTTCGATGCCCATTTTCGTCCCTTCTGCTTGTAGCTTTTTGCCAAGTGAATGTTATTTGTTATTTAGCCCATCTCCTGGTAAACAGAGAAACGTAAAAAGAATTAACTGCATGGAATTTATTCATTTTAGTAATGATAGAATTAAATTAAACAACCTATGAATGGAGTTGTGTGTTTTTCTAAATGGTCCTAATTGTGCATTTACTTCCCCTCTCATTTTTATATATTAAACGCATTTTCTGAAAGGTATTTTATATGCTGCACATCAATTAAAAAGGTAATATTTTTCAGTGCCCACCAAATCTCCATAAACAAGATGGCTATGCCTGCAATCAAAATCAGGTACGCTGGGCTCTAAGTGAGATTTCGGTGTAATTTAGAAAGGATTACTGCTATTTCTTTCCTCCTTTTGATAATTGTAACTTTAGAAGGAAATGTACTAAAGTAAATTGCAGTGGGGTGCTGGTTCATATCAGCTTTATTTCATTCTGAATATTACATGTGTTTCATCAGTTACAAACTGTCCAGATTGAAAGAAAAGAAAAAGGAATGCAATGGCACCTGAAACCAGGCCTCTACTTTGCCGAGCTGTGACCACCCTTAAATAATTTTAGCCTGTCTATTTAGCAAAAAGATGGCCATCTTTTATAAGACTTTTCTCAAGTCAGTATGATAGACCCCCCACCATCCACATATAAGAGAGGCATTTTGGTATCATTTGCAGAACGGTACAAATATTTGTTCCCCATGAAAATTCAAGCTCCCATAATTATTTTACATTTAAAGAGCTGTGCTGCTTAGTGTACCCTGAGCTTTTCAATTTTAATGTGGCAGGTCTTAGAGTTCTTCTTACATGTTTGGGTTTCTTATTGGCGAGTCTTACAGTTCTTTTTACATGTTTGTGTTTCTTATTGGCCACTGTGAAAATGCATGAGAATGGGATGGAGAGAACTTTGTGTAACTCACCCAGAAGGAGACCTTGCAGTCAGAATTTGGGGGAAAGTGGCCCTGGGGACCTGTGACTCAGAACATACGTGCTCTTTCTCTCAGGGTCGCTGCTACAATGGGGAGTGCAAGACAAGAGATAACCAGTGCCAGTACATCTGGGGAACAAGTAGGTGGCATGTCCTGCCTGCTAGCCATACCCAGTTTCCTTACAAGCAGGTTGCATGTCCTGCCTGCTAGCCATACCCAGTTTCTTTACAAGCAGGTTGCATGTCCTGCCTGCTAGCCATACCCAGTTTCCTTACAAGCAGGTTGCATGTCCTGCCTGCTAGCTGTACCCAGTTTCCTTTGCACGATTCTTCTCTTCCAGTCTGTGACAGAGGTACACAGCAGGGAGTGACATGAAAGAAAAGTCTAGAAAAGGATGAAAATAAAAGAGATGGTATGAAAGCTATGCCCAGGCCTGGAAGTATAACTCAATGGTAGAATGCGCAAGAGGCTTTGGGTTTAATTCCCAGTAAACCTCCAATAATGATGATAATGATGCAGCAAAAACTGTGGAAAACAGATATCCAAGTGAGATATTGTCATGGAAACCAAGTGTCTTTCATTGACCTTGGCTGTTATGTATGGGATGTTGCAGCTACCGGCAACCACAGGGCCCAGTGCCGTGGTCAAGGTCACAGTCTGACCACTTATGCGATGGTATGACTTACTTTGTATTTTGCTAGTTTATCTTGGGAGAGGAACAGACTTGTTTTTTTGTTTTTTTTCAGTTGTCACTCACTGTCTCAGTTAAATTAATGACATGCAGGAATTTCCCTGGGAGCACACAGGTCCATGGTAACAAATCCCCGACATTGCCTAAATGTTAATACACACATGACTGGCTGATGTTTACAGTGACTCAGAATTTTAGTTCATGAAGGCCACACAGGAATTTCCCTAGTTTGTTTTCTGATTAAAAACAAACAAACAAACAAACAACAACAACAAAAAAACACTGAGAAAACCAACTTTGGGGAGGAAACGATTTATTTGGCTTTATACTTCCGTATCATATTCCATCACTGAGGGAAGTTAGCGCAGGGCCTCAAGGCAGGAACCTGGAGGCAGAAACTGAAGCAGAAACCATGGAGGGGTGCTGCTTACTGGCTTGCTCCTTAAGACTGGCTCAGCCTGATTTCTTATACAGCCCAGAACCACCTGCCCAGGAGTGGCAGTACCCACAGTGGGCTGGGCCCTCCCACATCAAGCATTCATCAAGAAAATGATTGCCCACTTGCTCACAGGCCAGTTTGATGGAGATAAAATTTCAATTAAACTTCCCTCTTTTGAGGTGACTGTAGTTTGTGTCAAGTTGATTAAAAAAAACAAAAACAAAAACAAAAAAAACTAACCAGAATAGCAAGGCTGAGAAATGATACTCCCTAGCTGGCTGAGGCTGGGTCTTCCAACATGGAGAAAGAGGTCATATGAGTGATTTCAGTGTTGGACAGGTGTCGTTCATGTGGAAGAGTTACAGTCAGGTAAAGATAATAAGGACATAATGTGCCAGGCATGGTGGCTCATGCCTGCAATCTCAGCACTTGGGAAGTTGAGACAGGAGGATTACTAGTAGTTAAAGGCCAGCTTGGACTAAGTAATGAGTTCCGGGCCAGCTGGGTCGAAAGAGTAAGACTCTGTCTCAAAAATTAAAAAAAAAAGCCCTAACAACCTCAGTGGGCTGAGATTTTGAAATTAATCCTGAAATTAACATAAAACAAGATTAAGAAGGCTGGAGAGGTGGATCAGTGGTTAAGAGCACCGATTGCTGTTCTAGAGATCCCGGGTTCCATTCCCAACACTCACACGATGACTAACAACTGTCAGTAACTCATCTGGTGCCCTCTTCTGGCCTCATTTGACACTGCATGCACATGGTATACAGCTGTACATCTAGGCACAACACCCATAGACATCAACCCCCCCCAACACACACACACACACACACACACACACACACACACACACACACACACACACACACACTATAATAAAGCAGGATTAAGAATACATATTTGTTTACTGTGTGGTGGTGGTGTGTTTATTGCTGCCAGTGATTTTTCTCCCTGGTCACCTTCAAACCCACCAGCAAGATCTGCCTAGAGACTTCTCATATTCCAGACAGTGCTGTGCTGGAGCATTTTTGCCCTAGCTTCCAAAAGCAACTGAATTTTGGAGGTTTTGCTGAGCCGGTGAACGGCACATCCATAGCTTGGAATCAGCCCTTGCATGTTTCCACCGTCGGAACTGGCAATCAAGCGTGTCCCCCCCCCCTCCTTTTTTTTTTCTTTCCATTTCCGAGAAGCAGCTGATGGACACTTTGTGGCACCCCACTGAGTGTGAGGAGCCCAGAGAAGTAAAGTGTATTTTCTCCTCTCGTCCATCTCCAATAGAGGCTTCAGGGTCAGACAAGTTCTGCTACGAAAAACTGAATACGGAGGGCACCGAGAAGGGTAACTGCGGCAAAGATGGAGACCGATGGATCCAGTGCAGCAAACAGTGAGTGGGCACCCTGGGGCAGAGCCATGGCTCTCCCAGGCTGACGCAAGCATGATGTGAACGAAAAAATAGGAGAGTTGTGGACGCAGTGTATGTATACCTGTGGGGAACTGTCGAAAGATTAATGAAGTAAATTCTGTGAAAAATAAAAAGAGATCAATGTGAAGAGGAGGAAAAAAAGGGCATAAAATAAGGTGTAGAGCTGTGGACATTCTTGTACACGTGGATTAGTGTGTATTGTGTCCATATCTCTAGGGCCTATACTTAGCAAAACAATTGCCAGGCCCCAGGGATGCATATTTTCACTGTCATCAGATGACATCACATTGTTTCCTAAAAAAATGGCTGTGCTCTGGGAAACCTTCCCATAATATATGCTATTTTCATCAATACTCGATCTTAACAGATTTTTTTTTTTTTTACTTTTATCAGTTCTGGTGTGTGTGGATTGCTATCTTGGCACGGTTTTAATTTGCATTTTCCGACTTATAAGTGGAATTTAGCTCCTTTCCAAGCAGATTTCCTTTTTAGTGAAGTGACGCTTCACGTCTTTGCCATCTTCTGGTATGAGTCATTGTTTATTGAACAGCTAGGTTGGAGGTAGAGGTGTCCTCGTGACAGGTGAGTCACTTTAATAATGCCACCAAAGATCCGAACGATTCCTTCCCTTCTGCTGTGCGATCTTTATAATGTTGACTTTTAAATTCTTGCACTTGCGAATTCATGGTTGCAAGTGGATGCAAAAACCACACATTCCAAGGTAGATGACCTGTCTTCCTGTTGTCTGGAAGTGTGACCCTTCCAGCCACTGTGATGTGGCTTTTCCTTACATCCATTTCTAGGAGGGCTGTGTCGATCTCAGTTCTAGAGTAGAGAGGAGGGATGCTCAGGACAGTACGTGTGGGGAACAGCAGTGCTGCTACTGACTGAGAATATTCTAGGCCTTTCTTTCAAGGGTGCTCACTTCATTAGTGAAGCTGTGGTCCCTTGGCAAGGAGAGTCATAGCTAAGCCAGAATGTCTGAGTGCTTTCATTTTTCAGTAAAGAGAATATTGAGAAATTTTAGGACTGGAGATAAGGGTCAATAGTAGATTGCTTGCTTAGTATATGCTAAGTTCTGGGTTTGGTTCCCAGAACCATACCATGTAAAAACTAATGTATGTGCAGTGAGAGTTGTGGGTTTTTGAGCTGGAGTCTTCCTGTCTTCTGCCTTCTGAATCCTGTGCAGTGACGTGTTCTGTGGATTTTTGCTCTGTACCAATCTTACTCGAGCTCCGAGAATTGGTCAACTTCAAGGAGAGATCATCCCAACGTCCTTCTACCACCAAGGCCGAGTCATTGACTGCAGGTAACACACAGAAGTCAGGAGACAAGCGAGGCGAGTGCAATGATCACAGATTTCAAGCAAGCAAAAATGGAAAACACCAAAGATCTAAGATTTTCCAGTTTCATCTTTTCCTTTCATGTGGAAAACCACTTTTGAAAAGTAGTATATTGGTTTGCAAATTGCAGTTGCCCAAAATTGTAGTTGTAGTGAGACCTTTTTCCAAGTCACAGTCTTAGGAATAGAGTTACGTTGCAAGTGATGTCTCATACCCCCAAAGCTTGAGATTAGAAGTCTTCAGGTCTTAGAATGTTTGCTGGGATCCAAGACTAAGTATGGAATTTATGTTTCATTTATTCCCTACACATACAGAAGACTGAAGGAAACTTTAAAAAGTTTGTGTGTCTATTTTATTAACATAGTAACCGTGTCTATTAACAGTTTACTGAAATACCTCCACACAAGGGTACAGCATAAATGAATTACATCCATCCCACACTGCATAGTCTCAAACCCCTACTCTTCACTATTCCACTCTTCAGCCTACTTTTAAAAGTTTGTACATGTGTGAGGTGGTGTGGTGTGCCTATCTCTCTGTGTGCAACCTAGTTCACATATTTTCTGAAAATGACAGGCTTTCATTCTTTTTTGTGGCTAAGTGATATTCTGTTATGTGTACACCACATCTCCTATATCCATTTCTGCTGATGGGTTGGTTGAGTCTATATCCTGGGTATTGTGGTAATGCCACAGTAGACACGTAGTAGTACTAGCTAGTATTTAAAAGAATCCCCCACACTGTTCTCTTGAAGATCGTACGAATTGACACTCCCACTTTTAGTGTACTAAGGTTCTTCTTTTCTCTTTGCTCTAGCCAGTATTTGTAATTTTTTTTAATGATGGCTACTTTAAGTAAATTGAGATGGCATCTTATTGTGGTTTAAATTGCAGTTCCCCGAATCATATTGAACTGTTCTGTATTTATTGGCCATTTATATTTCTTCCTTTGAGCAGCGATTTTTACCCAGTACTTTCAGTGTGCCTGCATTTTAAGTGTGACTGTGTTTTAGTTGGACTTTTCCACACATGGCTTCCTGTCAGTACTCATAAGCTTTCAGATTTTGGAACATTTCGGAGTTCAGTGTTTTGGATGAGGGACACGCAACCTGTACTCATTTTTCCCAAGGTTAAAATTTAGGAGCATTGGAATGTATCACTATTTGAATACATTTGTGTGTTTTACTTTTTTTATTCTAAGTCCAATTCAAGCAGTGTTTTATGTTGCACGTGTCTGGTTTACCTAACAAGTACCAAATCACATACAGAAAATAGTTATTAAAATATAGTTTATTAATGTTAACAAAGAATACTCCCCCCAGCATCTGCCCTTTATTTTCACTATCCTGGAATTCGAAACCACTTTTTTTCTGGGAGTGAATTAATGTTAGAAATTATCTAAGAGTACTTCTGCACAATTGGATAATTTTGTCTTGGGCAGATAACTGCTATTTTTCCATCTTGTTAAATGGCTCTGAGGTAATTCTAACGAGGCCTTAGGCAGTATGCTCTTCCATAGAATGCATCTGTTAGTGTAGTATCTACTGCCTTCTACGTACAGAAACGCTCTTTCAATGTATACATTCTCACATGTCTTTAATAGCCTTGTTAAATTATATGGTTATATTGCAAACTGCCATATTTGTAAAAACATTCAGCAAGATTCCCTGCTAGTAATTATATCATTAATTATCATTCAGATTCTAATTGCCCCTAACTTTGAAACATAAGAAGTATACATTAGTAAAGAAGACCTGGGCTGGCTTTATCTTTTTAATTGTGATAGCTAACTCCTCTGGGGTGATAATAATAATTTTCAAATACCTTATTTTGCTGTTTTTGTTCACCATTATTTCTCTCACATACCGCCTTTCCCCCACAATGCCTTGGAGAGCCAAGGACACACTTTCTCCTTCTCTTTTTTTATTTATTTATTTTTTATTTTTTTATTTTTTTATTTTTTGGTTTTTCGAGACAGGGTTTCTCTGTGTAGCTTTGCGCCTTTCCTGGAACTCACTTGGTAGTCCAGGCTTGCCTCGAACTCACAGAGATCCGCCTGGCTCTGCCTCCCAAGTGCTGGGATTAAAGGCGTGCGCCACCACCGCCCGGCCTCTCCTTCTCTGTTTTACACAGACACCTTTTACTTAGTCTTAATATTGGAAACAATAGAAGAGCTAGAATGTTCCCTGCCAATAATAGTTGCCCCTGATGATGTGTGCTATAATGATAATGAAAGGTAGTTTCTTTCCGGCACTCTTACTAAAGATAGGTGGGAAGGAGAAATGGACGTGAAAACCCCTCGTTAGTTGTAACAGTCTCTTCTGTTTCATGAATGGCAAATCTTGTTGGTGCTGGCACAGTGTTGTAGGTGCGGTGCTTACGTTTGTGTGGCTCCCTCTCTGCTTTCAGTGGTGCTCACGTAGTTTTAGATGATGATACAGATGTGGGCTACGTAGAAGATGGGACTCCATGTGGCCCATCCATGATGTGTTTAGATCGGAAGTGCCTACAGATTCAAGCCCTGAATATGAGCAGCTGCCCACTCGATTCCAAGGGGAAAGTCTGTTCAGGCCATGGGGTAAGTAGACATCAGTGTTAACAGCTTTGATTCTTCATTATCTGGGATCCCGAGTTCACAGTGACAAGACAGCCAAATACAGCCATTTCTTACTAAGACTGTGTCATGATTATCACCATTTTCTCAGTACCTTTATCTGCTAAAATAATTATTTATAAATTGATTTGATTTTGTTATTTCTCATATCATTATTGGTTATTTGTATTGATCACATTCTCCAGATATAACTTGATGTCTATGTTAGTCAATAGTCTGTAGAAAAACAGGGTAAATCTTCTGTCTACCCACCTATCCATGTATCTATCCTCTATCTAAGAAGATTTATTATGAATAATTGGATCGCATAATTATGGAAGCTGCTTGTTGTTGATAAAATGGAGAGTTATGTAAACCACTGGTATGATTCATTCTGAGTCCGCTGACATGAGACTCACCAGAGCTGATGGTGTATACCTGAGTGCTAGGGCTGGAGAAGATGAGATGGAGTGTCTCAGCTCGATCCCTGAAGGGAGGAAAGAGGTTGAGTTCCCCTTCCTCCTCTTTTTGCGTTCCACTCAGGCTCTGTTGGGAGTGCAATCAGCTCTGTGGAGTTCACTCATTTAGACGTTGCTGTCGTCTGGAAATGCTTTCACAGGCACGTCCAGAAATGATGTGCGATTGGGCACCCCACAGCCCAGTTAACTTGGCACATGAAATTAGCCATCACGACATCTTAAAAGTTGGAAGAAAAATTGATAGGCTTCCTAAGGGACTGTAGACTCTGTGCCAGTATTTTTTTTAATAGCGCAAAACAACATAAGTTGTATTAGTGATTGACTTCCATCTCAGATCACACTGACAGGAGAGTGGATTGCAGATGAGTCACATGCTTGTAAAGATGTTCAGTTACGCTTGGGCTGTTCTCATCCCCCACCCCCACCCCTCACCCCCAGAAAAAGATGCTGTCTGTATTCAAACCTGTGTGTAGCTTTAATTCTGTGACCAAAGTGTTTGAGAATGCCGCCTTTCTTGGAAAACCTAAGTTTAATAACAACGATAATAATAATACCCAAGTTATAACAATGATTTAGATTGGACTTAGCAAAATGAAGGCATTTCAAAATTTATAGATTTCAGAAATTAGAAAAATGGGCACAAAGAAACAGAGCAATAATTAAAAAAAAGGGGGGGGGGAGATTCTGGATGACAGTAAAAGGAACCCAGCGTAGAGACCTAGGCTGAAGATAAGAATAAGGTGGATAGGCTCAGGAAACTTCTCTGGTGGTAATGGTCAGCTGAGCAAGCTCACAGGGAGGCCGTGTAGCTGGGTGAGTCAGTCACTCTGCTGTTGATACCACAAAATACCCGACATAAACAGTTTCAGAGAGGAGAAAGTGGTTTGGATCACGGTTCGGGGGCACAGCCCAGCATTATGGGGAAGAGTGGAGGCCCGAAGCTTACTCCTCATATCAGGTCAGGAAGCAAACACGTGGAACACAGGTGCTTCGCTGGAGTCTACTTTTTTTTTTTTTTTTTTTTGGTTTTTCGAGACAGGGTTTTTCTGTGTAGCTTTGGAGCCTGTCTCGAAACTCACTCTGTAGCCCAGGCTGGCCTCGAATTCACAGAGATCCACCTGGCTCTGCCTCCCGAGTGCTGGGATTAAAGGCGTGCGCCACCACCGCCCGGCTGGAATCTACTTTTTCATTCAGTCCAGGGCCCCATTCCACGGGATGGTACAGTGACCCACACTCAGGTTGGGCCTTTCCCCTCCAGCTAATCCTTCCAGAAACACACTCAAGAGACACCCCCAAGGGTGTGCCTGGCTCATGCCCTAGATGTTTATTATGACATCGAAGCCAGCCATCCTATCTGATGACTTACAAACGTGAATTCAGGGGCTAGAGAGGGTGGTGGATTTCAGTTCTGGCTGTACTTCTTGACATCTCAGGGACTCTGGGTGGGTACTTACCCTCTCTCAGCCCTCAGGTGCTGGTGTGAGGAGTAATGAGAAGCTTTTCGTGAAGTTCTTAGCAGAGGAACTTGACACATAATGAGTGTTCAGTGAAATTGCTATGTAAAATGAAATCACCGGGCAGACTTTTTAAGCATTTTAGTTATTGCTCTAAAAATATGAGACGTAAAAGCTCTTTTCTGCTTTCCTTTCCCTCCCTCATTTCCACCATTTTTTAAAAAAGCCAAGTTCAGCCTTATTAATCATAATCACGGACCACAGTATCTCAGATTTAAAAGCTTTGGCATTTGATTTTATCATATCTAATGATAAAAGGGTCTCGGCACCTGTCTCTCTAGCTTGCGGAGGGTTTTATTTGATTCACGTAAATGGTAAGTCCGTGCCATTTGCTGCCTGATGGAGGGCTTCAGCCTGCTGCCGGGGGAGAGCGTGACTCCATAGATGGCAGGGAGGGTGGAGTCAGTGCTTATTGGGCTGGCAAAGTGCCACCAAATGAGTTAGGCATGGCGAGGTCACACAGTGTGCTAGTGATTGTGTCTCCTGGTCCTTTCTCTTGAGGACTGCCCCTTGGGAAGTGTCTTTTGAGACCTGGGTCTGTTAACTTGCTGAATGAAACGTGTGTTTTTCATGAATGTTCCTAGAAACATTGGCTTTGGAGAAAAAAAAAAAAAACCAACAACCTACCTTATTGGACATTTGTGTATCTAAATATCATGAATAATACATGTTTAAAAAAAGTTTTCTTCATCTTAATCATTATTTTCCTATAATTATTAGAAAATATATTCAGTAATTTGACCAATGAACCCAGTCCCCAAAGCCATGGGAAAGTTTTGAAGCCTTCTAAATGACTTTGAAAGATTCCTTCGTGCACCCTGTTGCTTAGATCACATTTACCATGGATGGTCCACAGTGTGGTATCTCTCTTCTTTTTCCTCCCCAGGTGTGTAGTAATGAAGCCACCTGCATCTGTGATTTCACTTGGGCAGGCACGGACTGCAGCATCCGGGACCCCGTTCGGAACCCCAACCCCCCGAAGGATGAAGGACCCAAGGGTTTGTGTGATTTCAGTTTTAGACCATTGCAGACCGCGCTCATCTGCATCCTTCCACGGCAATAGTATCATGCTTCCATGGCTTTGGAAGGAGACACATCAGAGTCTATCTTTTTGCCACGAAGATGCAAAATTCTGTGTGTATCATATTTTCCAAAGCATATTTAAATTACCTCGTAGCCTGGGACTGAATTAAGAAAAGAAAAATCTACTGACTTCCTTTAATCCGGTTTCTTCTCTGTCCTTTAAACCTTATGTTTTCTCCCACTTTTACAAAAGCTAATTATTTTATAAGCCGTTCCATTTTCGAATAGGTACAGTCTTTGGGGCTGACATGAGACCTTTTTTTTTTATCATCCCTGAATATCGTATTCTCTCCAGAGGAAAGTTGTAGTCCTTTATGCCTCCTTCTAACAAATTCTTTTGATTTGGCAAAAGAATCGGTTCTTTAGATAGCTTTAATTTTTTCAGAGGAAATGTAAAGAGTCTGCAGCTTTGTTCTAAGCAGCCACTAAAAGAAGAGAGAGATTAGAATTTAGCATAATGAGTCTGTGGCAGTTCATAGTCACCATGTGATATTGAAGATGAGAATGCTCAGGCCCTGAGGTCAGGTGACATACCCGTTACCTAGGCAACCAGGGGCCAAACTGGGAGCATGCTTACTTCTATTACATTATTTTTTATAGTATTGCCTATGTAAAAAAATGAATATGACAGTCATTTTCTCATTATTCTACCCCCTTTCTCCTCCCCCATCCGCCCCGATTCTCTGAGATCTTGAAATACTGTCAGTTACAACAGGCTTCGTGTGGCATCTAAGTCTCTAGTACCCGAGAAAACAAACAACAGCTTGTACTGATTTTGACATTTGACCACGGCGCTGTACCTCAGCTTCTGTTTTGCAGCGGCTGCTAACAGTATTCTATAAACCAGCTGCCATGCCTTCTTTCCCCCTGCAAGCAGGAAAATGTACAGAGCTCCAGCATCCAGTTGATCGCCTTTGTTTTGATGAAAGTTCATTTAGCTCTGTGAACGTCTGTGTGGTCTGTATGGGAAAACATGACCCTCCATGCAGACAGAGCTCCCTAGACTGCAGTTCCTGAAGAGATGCAGCCTGGTTTGGATATGTGTGAGTTGTTCCATAACAGTGGGTGTGTTAAAACACCCTTCATCCCTTTGTTTGATAGGCCCAGGATATTAAAATTCCATAAGAATAATTATCACACCCTCATAGTCTATTTCTGTTTTGCCTCGGTTCCTAAAAACGAACCTACTCCACTCTTACATTCGGTCTTTTGTTGCTTTAAAACTAGAACAAAACATTCGTGGATCCACCTTCAGAAGCTAGAGAGGTAGGCCCCGACAAGAGAAGCGAGCTTCTGTCTCCGAACCCTCTGCAGAGCGCAGCTGTGGCCTTCAGAGACGCCCTGTGCTCCTTCCTGCCGCGACACTTAGGCGTGTTTGTATGCTGACGGAGCTTTTTTAGATCCTGCCCGTGTGTTAGGTGTGATGGGGCTTTATTAACTGTTTCTGTTTGCCATTTCCTCACCCGCTCATTCACCGAGGAAAGTCGGCTTTGAAGCAAACAATCACTCTGGAGAGGAGAGTGTTTGCAATTGTCTTTTCTTTAACTTTCTCCCATCTTTACTATAGTTAAGAAACTATCCTCTTTTTTTTTTTTTTTTGGTAAATCAAATCATATATGTTTATTGTAGAAAATAAATATTTGTTTTAGGAAATACAAGGAAGGAATGAAAAAGATGGTAAAAATGATCCGTAGCCTCACAGCTCAGGGTAATTAGCATGCGCATTCAGGCTGATCACTTTCTAGTCACATGTTTTCCTTTTTCTCCTCTTCCTGAAGGCAGCAAGTAGTAGGTGCAAGTGATTATAAAATGGTGGAAATCAGTAAAAAAAAAAAAAAATTTCTAACAATTTCGATGAAGCAAAAATGTCATTATTTAACATAAATGAAAAACCAGTTATTTGGTAAATAAATCTCCAGGTAAATCAAGCAATTTTAGTACAATGAAATAATAGCTCTATTTGGGGCTGGAGAGATAGCTTAGTGGTTAAGAACACTTGTTGTTCTTACAGAGGACCCAGGTTCAGTTCCTGGCATTCTATGGTAGCTCCAGTTCCAGTGGATCCAGCACCCTCTTCTGACCTCCCTGGGGGTCAGGCATGCATGCGATACACGTACATATATGCAGGCAAAACACACTCATAAAGTCAAATAAATCTATAAAAATTTAAATAACAGCTCTATTAGCTATTTGTTTCTCTTCATATTCTATATGAATATGGGGCTAATGAATATGCTAATAAAATGAGAAACAGCAGAAATCAGAGATTCTTCAACTTTGTTGTTAATTTTTATAATTTTAGCCTTTCTAAAGGAAAACGAAAGAGAGAAGCTGTGCCCTTGACCTCGGTCTCCACCCATTTAGCAAATTTGTCTTGTCTGTCCAGTAATTTAAGGGAGCGTGTACTCTGCACCCAGTGGGTGTTCAGTAAATATTCCACCCCTCCCACTGAGGATATGTAAAAGAAGTAGAATGGCCACATAATCCCAACAGTCAGGAGGCTGAGGCAGGAGGATCATCTCAAGTTTGAAGCTATTCTTCTCTACTGCATAGTAAGTTCCAGGGCAGCCAGGAAACAATAACAACAACAACAACAACAAAAAGGAATGTGGCATTTAGTGCTGATTTTCTGATTACACATTCTTATTTGTATGCAGTCCATGTATCCGTGCAATATCCCATCCTTTCTCAACGGTCGGTTCTGCATAGGTGCCGAGTTTCCCTCGATAGCTTCATACTGTGTCATCCTTTTCAGCTTCCAGGTGGTTTGGCTACACTACCTTCCCCAGATGCTTGCCATACATAATGAGCAGTGCCCACATGGTCTGGCCAGTCATGTCTACAGATAAAGTTTCCTGGGTAGATGTGGCAAGAACATACTAGAATACTATGTATTCCAGGAAGACTTGGGAGGCTGAAGCAGGAGGATCTTAAATTTAAGGCCAGCCTGGGATGCAGAAGCATTCCAGAAACTGTCCCTAAAACCCAAAGAAAGCAAAACAAATCTAAAACCTACCTATCTCTGTTTAATTTATTCCTCTGAAATGGAGAAAAATCTAAGAAGCGTAATGAGAATATTGCCTTTTTAATCATGAACTCAGCATAAAAGATAGATAGAACCCAACTGCAGCCCTTTGGATCAAGATCACATTAGAATAGGCAGATTCTGCAGCTCCCTTTCCACTGAGTTGAGAAGGTCAGAAATGGACTTAGTTTGGATAGCTTTAAAAATTAATTCCCAGAAGATGGTATAGATCTGGGTAGAGCCTTAACATGAATACTGTGTCGTCATCGGCTTGCTAGGGCTTTCTGCAGTGGATCCACAGTACCATGGTTAGGTTATTCCTGCCAGACCCCAAACCACAAACATTGAGAAAGATCTTTAAACCTACGAGGCATGTGGACGAGGATTTCTTTCCGTCCTCTCTGCTTTCCTTCCTCCCCCCTCCTCCTCTTCTCTCTCCTCTCTTTTCTCTTCTCTCTCAGTAGAACTTAGGGTCGCATGCATGCGTGGCAAGCTCTACCATTGAGCTGTATTTCCAGCCCTCTCGGAAAGGATTTCCAAAAAAACTATTCACTATACTATTGCACATCATCCACCCCTGTGTTGCCATTGATTATATATGTGAAAGCCTTTGGGAGTCACTCTTCTGTCAACTTGTTTCTGTTGAGATCTCTGAAAGTAGTGATTTCCTTTTATTACGCAAGGATGGGATGACCTACCATTCTGTTTAAAAGGATTTCCAGGGGCTGAGGAGATGGCTCTGTGGGAAAAGCGCTGGCCTGAAGACCTGAGTTCTGGTCCAGAACATTTAAGGTGAACTCCAGGTTCAATGAGTTGACCCTGCCTCAAAAACTAAGGTGGGGGAGTGACTGAGAAAGACCCCTGATGCAAACTGCTGGCCTCTACACACATGTACTCACTCTTTAAGCACACCCATATTTGCATGTACCCATCAAAACACACACACACACACACACACACACACACACACACACACACACACACACACAGAGAGAGAGAGAAAGAGAGAGAGAGAGAGAGAGAGAGAGAGAGAGAGAGAGAGAGAGAGAGTGAGTTTGTTTCTACCTTTCTACCTTATGGAAGGAAAGCCATGCCCATTCATTTTCATTAATTTGCATCTGCTTTGCTCAATGCATATTGTGGACTATGATAGATTTTTTTTTCTCACTTGATGGCGATCACGGCATCACTGTGACGAGCAAAAGGAGAAGAGAGTGGGTTATATCCCGTTCACTGACTTGCATAGGCAGGGATAGTATTCCTAGGAAGGAAGGTTGGGCCAGACCCTTCAATGAAGACCATAGTCATCAAATTGAGATAGGAAGGACCTTAAAGGCAATTTACCCAGACCTGCTGCCTCACAAATGGGAAAGCTAATTATCACTGTTAACAGATAATTAAATAAAATGTGATCACATGAGCTTAACCTCAGTGCCTCTTTGGCTACTGCCTCTTTTAAGGCAGAATGCTAAGTCCTTCTGCGAGTTCTTTGTGCATAATAAGAAAAGAGAGCGCCTATAGGCCAGCAGCGATTAAGCCCATTAGAGGGGGCCATTACTTGTTAGCAGCGCTTATTATGCCTCTGAAGAAAAGCAGTCTATCATCCGAGTTTAGAATTTTGAAAACAATGACTTCTAAATATAAGAAGCACCAGGTATTATTTAGCGTAGCTTTTGCAGATAGCCTTTAGGCGACTTTCAAATGACCAACCTTCGATTTAGTAGTTCAGATCATTAAATGATTCTCATATGTGAGTATGAAGTATTATATATAGTAATATGTCGGGCACTTTCTTATTAACCACAGACTCCACCAAAGTTTAAAGATATACCGTATTTTAAAATATTTTAGAAACTACGAGTTTATCTTATATAAATCCAGAAAAGCCTCTGTATTTTTGTCGATAGCATGAAGTGCAGTGGTTTTTTTTTTTTTTTTTTTTTTTGAGACAAGATTTTGCTGTGTAGTTCTGACTGGCCTCAACCCCACAGTCTCCCTGCTGCTGGTATTCCAAGGGCATGCCGTTACATTCAGATGAAATAATATCTGTCATGAAATAACTTATTCTATGTCCTTCCAGACATGTCTCCCAGTAGTCTAAAATTGAACTTTTTTTTTATTTCACTGAAAAGAGAAGGAGATCTGATTTTATGCCTAACACATGGAGATTTCCAGCAAGATAAAGTATTTTTATAATGTCAACATTATGCTGCAAAACTAAGGGCTTCATTTAGTGTTTGTGTTTAACCTTCAGTTTAGCAATGTAAATGTAAATCTCTGCAGCAAGGACTATGTTAGACAGGGCACCGATGATGGCTTTGCTGCCTAAGGCCTTTGAAGTGTCAAGGGGCGGAGGCACTTAGCCTTGGTTGGCCCACGGAATCATGGAAGTGCAACTCGGCACCTTCTTGCTTTGGAAACTCTAAGAAAGGAACATGCAGTTTCCAAAAGAGCAGCGTTCTTTAAGTGTGTGAAGTCTGACTTGTCTGTGCAGAAATTCTACATGCAAAAATAGAGAACCTTTTTTTTTTTTTTCAAAAAAGAAGAAAATTTATAGCTTGCCTCTTAATATTACACACTTACTAAAAGTTGTATTTTTTTAAGGACCAGTCAACCTAGAGAGAACAGGAAGCAGGACTGAAGATAATAAGCCCACAGACAGCACACACACGCACAGGTACTGAGGTAATGAGCGTGATTGACCTGCACACTCTAAAGAAGGACAAGTGTGTCAGACAGCGAGGGGACAAAGTCTAGCTCCCCCAAACCAGGACCGTGTTATCAGTGCCATGGTCAGGGTCACGGGAGAAAATTAAGGCATGTCATTGTGTACACAGCATAGAGCCTAAGAGGAGACATTTGCAGATAATGAATGAATATGAATGAGAGAATTAATGAACAGAAGCATAATAAACCAGTGAGTATGGATGTGAAGCTACATCGTGAATTTGCAAAGGCACAAGGAAAAATGTTTCCAGTTTTCTACCGTAGCTGTTCAAAGCAGCTACTTTCACAAATTTGTTCCCTGTAAAACACTGCCCTCCTGAGGGTCACTATCAGTCCCTGCCAAGCAGATCTGAAGACAGGTTGATTCTGAATTTAAAGAGATAAAACCCAGGGGCTTGCTACATCTTCCCATATTGTTCCAGGGTGCAGGGCAGGGTGGAGAGCATCAGAAGCACACAAAGAGATGAGTTCTGAGAAAACCACTTCTCCAGCCCTTCTCGTTTGCTTTGTGTTGAGAGTACTTGTCTGTCGAGAATCTGAAGATAATTATTCTTTCTCAGTGCTGATTAAGGCTCATCATCTGCCTGCCTGGAATACAGGCTTGAAGTATCTGCAGGATTTCTTTTCTTTTTTTTTTTTTTTTGTTCCCCTGATAAGGTTTCTAATACTTGCACAGTGGGCCCACCTAATTCTCTCCCTTCTGCAGAGACGAATTATACCACAACAAACGTAGGGGAGTTTGCAAAATTCATCTTTCCTGTGGTAGTTATAATTCCAAAAATTAACAAATATTCAGTTAGCATCACATTATATGGGAGAGGAAGGAAATATTTCCCTGTGATTTGTTGTAGCTACCTTATCTAAAGGTTGAAGGGAATGTGGGATTGACTGGTATGTTCCGGCTCTGAGAGCCATTACTTCAAATTTAAGTACACCACCCTCCCCCAAAAAGTTATGAACTAACATATTTGTTAATTTAGTATTCTGAAAGCAATGATTTTCTTTAAAAAAAAAAGAATTTTTTTTGTTTGGAACCCCTTCTGTCCTAGTGTTTGTACCCATAGTTTGGAAATCTGAGCTGTGGCTGGGTCATTTTGAATGAACACGTGTGGTCATGCCATGGGCCACCGCCTAAATTATCTTTCCCCTCCTCTTAGCTTTCACTAGATTTTCTCTGTTTTGTGTTGTGTTTCCATCTTTTTACTTTTTAAAGGATCTCTCTGGTTGCATTTAGTTAATAACCCTTAGGTTCTCATTTATATTATCTACCTTGTGATAAAATGAAGTAATTGTGAAATTGCTAAACAGGCTTAGAGATCCAAGATTCTCTTCCCTTGGGACAATATCTTACTAAAAGGTCCATGGGCACTGGAGGAAGCCTTAAACAATTGTGACTGTGAGTCTCACTTTGCGATTCTGTTCCCCTGTGTTCATAGCATTCAGTCTGTGTAATACAGTCCTGTTGAAGTGAAACTGTTTTCATTGGTAAGGTCATTTGCATTCACTACCTTTCACTTATGTAAAAACGAGAGAAGTGTCTATGAGCCAGCTCCCTTGTACACTTACAGACATAACCAACCCTAAATAATATTCGCCTCCTAGTTCAACATCTGACTTCATGTCACTCTTGTAGAGAAAACATTGGGAGTCTACCTGTTTTGGGGTTGTTTCTCAGCACTTGAAAGCCTTGCACAGAAGTGGTGATGCATGGGTGTTGAGTGTTTCTGCTCTGCACTAATAACGATGGGTTATTAATAATAATAATAATGGGTGGTCTGTAGCAACCACTGCAATTTTCAGAGACCCTGACTTCCTCCCGGCACACAGATATATTCTGGAATCTATAGCTGAAGAACTAAACATCCATTTCCTATGACTAAAATCCAAACCTTGTAGTCATTCAAAATATACTTTCCAATAACTTCCTGGGTTAATTACACAGAATTTTAAAGCTACTCTTTAGAATGTCTTTTAAAAAAATTGAATGATATGTTCTTCATTTAAATGATGTTAAGCATATTTTGCAGTTTGAAAAAATTATAAATGATGCATTAATGTCTAGTTTATAATTAAAATATAGATTTGCTGTAATGCAATTAAAATTTTACTTCATACTGCTAGACACTGTAACTCAAATTGGATTACTTATAAGCTTGAAAATATTTATAAGGGATTATGTTTTAAAGTAGGGTGTGTGCAGTTTGAAGATAAAAATTATAATGTCTGTCCATCTCAGTTTCAAACTTTCAAACAAAGATATCCATATTTAGCTAACTTTTAAAGCATTTCCTGGAGAGATTGTTTTGTATGATAGTGAAATCAGTGTGTGATTTCTTCTGTTTAAAAAAAAAAAATCTCCGTTTTCCCTCCACACAGTGAACATGGCCACAAGCAGGCTCATAGGGGGCTGTGGCTGGCACCATACTGGCCCTGGGGGTGATTTTTGGAGGCACAGGGTGGGGAATAGAGTAAGCATCCTTGTGAGTTTCCGGGTGTCTTTCTTTGGTGCTTGGTGTCTGAAGTGATGCTCGAACCCTGTCCCTTCTGTGTTTTGTCTTGTTGGGTGTTTCCTGTTGGTAATGTCATCTGTGCTGTGATTTGGATGTATTTGTGTCTTGTGATTTTCTCGTGCACTGTAGAACCTTCTCCTGTCTGGAACAATGTGGGGCATAAAACAATGTTGGGGTGCTTAGTCACAATTCAGGCCAGAGCCCAAAACTTCCTTTGCCTCCTCACTTGTAAAGAATTTTTAAAGTATAGATCTTAGTTTTTCTTCCTATTAATTGGCAAAATGATTTTATGTGAGAGTTTTCGTAGAAGTATTATAATGAATTTACTTTTACCACTCAAATTAATCTAGATATGCAGTTAGAAATACCAACAACTATCACACTTTATAGGTAGTGAGAATGATAGTCACTGATGCTTTCCTATTTATTGAGAATGATATAGAAGGCTTCAACTCAGATTTTCAAAAGAAGACATTAAGGACACTGCTTGCTTTCTTTGTTTCTTTCTTCCTTCCTTCCTTCCTTCCTTCCTTCCTTCCTTCCTTCCTTCCTTCCTTCCTTCCTTCCTTCCTTCCTTCCCTTCTCTCTCTCTCTCTTTCTTTCTTTCTTTCTTCTTTCTTTCTCTCTCTCTCTCTCTCTCTCTCTCTCTCTCTCTCTCTCTCTCTCTTTCTTTCTTTCTTTCTCTCTCTCTCTTTCTTTCTTCCTTTCTTTCTTTCTTCCCCTTTCTTTCTCTTTCCTTTTTTTGTTACAACATTGGTTCACAGTTCAACTTTGAGGTTTTCATAAACATTGGAGCAAGGAACATGAGAAGTGAAAATAGATTAAGTTCAAACCTGCCCAACCGTAGGGAACAGCTGCCGTTCCTCTGGTTGGTTTGTCTTTAAACTACCGGTGTCTACACCAGTGTGTTCTGTGTCGCTTACCCATTAGACTCTCCTGATGCTTGAGTTTAGCTCCCTCTGCGCTTGATCCACACCTTCCAGATGGCTGAGGTTGCTAGGTACAGACTAGCTTCTCAGGAAGCCTGTTCCTTTCCATTACCCAGAGAGTATTTACAGACACACGACAGGAGTCACCCTTCACACACTGTGCACACACACTGGGTTTCCTGTTTACTGGGGTTCTGTTAACACTTTTATGGTGGCCCCAAAATGAATTATCAGTGTCTCGAGGAGACACCAGCTATCCTTGACTTAGCCCAAAGAATATGTATGTTCGCTGTCAGCACAGCCCTTAGTTTCACTAGTTGGGGGACACATCTGCTCTCCTTCTGTACCCGAGTCAGGCAATTTGGGCACCACAGTAGTGGTAGGAGTGGAGTCAGGTGTGTAGGTTACACGCGAAGCTGTTCTGCTGTAGTTGGAAAGCCTGGCCAGCCTTAGCTCTTTAAAAAAAAACAACAACAAAACAAAACAAAACTTTTTTTTTTGAGACAGAGTCCCGTCTCAGTCTGTTGCTCATGCTCATCTGGAACTTAACTGTGTAGCCTAAGGCTAGCCCTGACCTTGCAGCAGTCCTTCGGCCTCAGATTCCTAAGTGCTGAATTTACAGGTGTGAGCGCTCACACCCAGCTTAGCTTTATGCCCTTAACTCACTGTCCCGTCAGTGTGGTCAGTGAGGCTAGTTAGATGAGGAGAGAAGTGGGGAACCCTGGAAAAGGGCTTGTATTTGTTTTTTTCACCTGTGAGAAAACGAAGCATGTAACAGTGCTAAAAGGTTGGATGACAAGAACTTGGTCCTGCAAGAGGCACCTTGGGACCGTTGGCCAAGTGTTCCCATCCCAGCGCCAAATTCCAGACACACGTGTATGTGAAATTCTCCTGAGAAGAAAGGCAGTTTTCCAAAGACCATCTCAAATGTGTTTTCTATGTGACTTAGTGGCCATAGGTTCAGTGCCTTCAGATATGGCCAACGCGATAAATTCTGGTCGTCCTTCAAGTCTTAGCGATAGACAGGATCCAAAAAGAAAAAAAAAAAATCTTTGTTGTAAACAGTCCTGTTCGCAGCATTTGTCCCCATCCATCCTTTCCAGTGTGGCTGGTTTGTTGCTCTTTATGCTTGTGACAGGTAAGTGTGTAAGTGTACATTTTTCCCCCCTAAAAAAAGTTTTGCTGTTCTTGTTTCATGAACGTTTTCTCTAGTGTCTTACTGACGTTCCCCTTCAACTTCCATTTGTTTGTAATTGATGATGGGTTTTTAAACCGTACAGCACAACACAGTTTTAATACTTCATGGCTTAACTGACAGTGCAGTGTTCACTCAATCAACAAGGCTTCCAGGGTCAGATTTAACTTCTACATTTCTACTCCTTAGTTGAGAATCGCACACCAGGAATCACTTCTCACGGATTCTCTATTGAATCTGACTCCAACCTCTATTTTCTGAACCCACAAAATGCAAACTACCTGAAGTGTAGGTGCATAACATGGTCCTAGGAGTACTTTAAAAAAAAATATTTTCTTCAGATTTCACCGTGGGGAAGGGGCGGGGCAGTGTATGGAGTAGCAGGAAGTTTCGTCAGAGCAGTCGTCATCCACAGACTTTCTGGGAAGGGCTAGGGGTTAATAGTTTTTGTCTTCCAAGCTACAAGGGTGTCTGTCCATTACAACCATTCAACATTGCCGTCCAAAGCAGCCATAGTCGGTATATAGGTAAAAAAGCATGGCTTTGCTACAACAAAAATGTCTTGGCCCAAACAGATCATCAGTACAGATTTGGTCTGTGGGCTCCGGTCTGTTGACCCTTGATTCATAACGCAAGTCTTGAAGTCAGAACGGTCCCCATTTCCTGCCTCACATGTTCCTTTGTGAGGATTCAGTGAGATATGTCAAATGTTCGGTAATGAGTGGAGTTGGTGCTCACTCTACAGTCTCTAGAAGGCATTTATCGTTCGCATTGCTGTTATTTTTATCTTTGATGTGTCTCCAAAGGCCACTGAGATTCATGGTCTATAGACCTTCCGTGGTTTAAGAGCATGTCAAAACCCAGGAATCAGAGAGGACCCCTGTCCTGGACCTACTTACACCTCTAATACTATGTGATTTCTGGGCAGAACCATCACCTATACATCTGTGGGGATGTCACCAATGGTGTCCACTTATATGAGAGAAGAAACTCTTCTGCCTGGGAATGAATGTCTGTAATACACTTAAAGATTTTAGGAAAACCAGCAAAACTGGCTAGTTTGTGACTTATGGGCAGGTATATGTAGCTAGCACTTGAAGGTATTTGGTTATTAGGGGGCACTGCTATGCATATGCATAGTAGATCCTGGAGGATGTGAAATTTCATTCTTAGTTTAAACGTTTAAGCTACATATAACTTTGTTTTGATCTTTAAAGGCTGAATGAAGGGGGAGAATGGAGCTACTGTAATTTCTGTCGACTTATCAGTGGCAGTCTCTTTACTTCATATTGTCATTCCTTGATGTCTTCTCTGATTTTTAAATATACTGCCGAGTTTCATATTCCCCAGTGAGAAATGGAAATTTAAAAGATATTCTCTAATGGAATGAAAAGAATTCTTTTTTCTTCTTCCCATTTCCTATAAACTACTCATAGAAATTTTAGGTCTCCTACACCTGCAAGCCCATTTTGGGGGGTTTAACACTGAAGAACCAGGAAGAAATATCCGGGAACGAAGTTGCAAGGCCAGGTGTCTTTATCGGTCGATCTCTTCCGATTAAAATTCTCACTGTTTCCCAGTACAGAACAAAAAGGCATCGAGAATGTGCTGTGTTGGTCGGAGAAGCACGGTCATGGGGTCATTTATCTCCTGTGTTTGGCAGTCAGGTGGAGCCAGTGCTAATGGAGCTCGGTTCCTTATTTGCACAAACCTGTTTGATTTATGATATGAGTGGAAGGGAGGAAGAGAACACATATGCACGGAAGGCCGGGGGGGTTGATTGGCTTCAGGTTTTTAGGAAGCTGATCTTAACAGAGCTTAACATCCAAAGAAAAGGTAGCAAAGAAAGAGTAAATTCAAAGACAACTGATCCAACCAGTCACCGGTGGAGGCATCTGACATGGGATTAAAGCTAAGATAAGAAAGTAATGAAAACATTCAGGGGGGGGGGGGGCGGGAGGGGGGGGGATCTTGCACAGCAGGGTTTCCCTTCCTGAAGCTGCTCTTTCTGTTGTGGTAATGAAAGTAGTTGGCTCACGTGACTTTCTTCCCATGATCCTTTGTCACAGGTCCTAGTGCCACCAATCTCATAATAGGCTCCATCGCTGGTGCCATCCTGGTAGCAGCGATTGTCCTTGGGGGCACAGGCTGGGGATTTAAGTAAGCAACGCCGCATGTCTTTTTACTCTGTGGCTCGGGCACCTCTCTCTTCTGCTTACATAACCTGGTTTTGAGTTCCTGCTACGAGACTTTGGTGTTAACAGTACAATCACACACACACACACACACACACACACACACACACACACACACACACACACACAAATATGCTTTTACTCAGAAGTGGGTTAGAAATGAAGGACGTGGAGCTTCAGATGTCATCTTCAGGCAGGCAGGGAAGCACGGGCAGTGGAAGGAATTCACTTGAACATGAAGAAAGAGCAAGCCAATAGAAGACAGTCCAGCTCATGGTAGCAGGGCCTCCTGAGTGCTTTCGAGTGCACTTAGGAGATATGTTAAGAAATAAATATACATAAATTCCTACTTGTTTCTGCTAAACACTGGTTTATTGTCCGTTGGGGTCTTCCACAATCTCAGGCATCACATAACCAATGGTTTGTTTTTTTTTTTTTACATGTAACTTTGTAATTTGAAAACTTTCATTATTTACTTACAGACATTTAATATTATTTCTCTAGCCAACTAAATTGGAAAGCAATGGCTTTGTAACATTTACTGTAACATTTACATAGCTGAGTGGCCTGCTGTGCTTTCAAATGACTTTTAATTTGGATTGCATATGATAGCCAAGATTGCTAAATTAGACCATATTG